GGTATCAGTCTGGACTTGACCTGCTGAAAGCTGTACAGGTGAGAGAACGTTTTTGAAACTCCAATATGCAAAAATAAGCTTTGCTTTCTCTACAGACAGGGAGAAAGACTCTCTCTCCCTCTCCCCAATTAAATTGTGTTTAATACAGAACATAGCATCCCAAAGTATCTCAGAAAAGCAAATTAATTCTTGCACAGACCTCAGAGGAGTTCTACACATGAAGTTCTAAGGCTTGTGAACTCACAACACTAACTCATTCATATCTAGGATCTAAGCACATCCCAAAGAATTCTACAACAAAAGCTAACATTTGGCCAAGTGGTTGGTCACCTCTTGGGCCAGCCCTATTCCATATGCATCTGCATAAATCGAGTCTCAGCTCTTTAGACTGCCATCGTGACACAGCAGGTTGAGCCCTCATCTACAATGTCTGCCTGAGAAGGAAGCAGAAGACAGCACAAGTAAGCGGGTCCCTACTACACATGTGGAAGACCAAGACAAACTTCCTGGCTCCTGCTTTCAACCTAACCCAGAATGGGGGGTGAATCAGTAGAAGAGAGAGCTCTCTCTCTCATAAAAGGAAAACAAAAATTTTGGAACTTGGAACTGCAAGGCACATTCCTAATATAAAATAACTGGATCTCAGATACAGCTCCATTCTAAGTACGTCCCTGAACTCACAGAAAACAAAGGACAAATCCAGAAGACTCAACTCTCCATGTCTTAAAGAAAACCGGAACTTGAAATCCCACAAAACAACTACAAGCTACAAGGACACAGCATAAGTTTCTCTGGGTACAAATGCCAATTCTAGCTCTGAATCCAGAGACTAAGAAAGGTCAGAGTCAGTGCCAAGTTCAGAAGTTAGACCCAAAACTTCTGTCTTAGGACAGCTACATGTGGGAAAGAAACAGCATGGTCTCAGTCTATCAGCGCCCCCTGGCAGTAAGCTGAAGCAATGACAATTATTCTATGGTAAAACACCCCCTACTTAACACCCAGGGGCTGAGGTCAACAGACTCAGGCTCAAAACCCACGTATAAACTTTATTCCTAAAAGCCAAAAACAACTTAAAAAAAAATCAAGGTGCTCTTCAACAGTTGAATATGTAAGCTGTAAGACATACTTACCATGGACTGTTACTCATCAATACAAAGAAATAAGCTACCAAGTTATGAAAGAATCCTAAATACATATTGCTAAGTGAGGAAGGCCAGTCTGAAGAAGTTATATACTGTATGATGTGAATAATATAAGATTTCTAAAAAGATATTTTACACAGAAATAAAGCAACACCAAAAACCAGTGGTTGCAAGGGCTCCAAGGTTCAAGAAAAATGAAAGCAGTGAATTCTGCATAGGCCTTATCCATTTGCCAAAACGCCACAGAACTGGATACACAAACAGCAGAGCCTGATACAAACCAAAAACTTTAGGGGGCCAGCGTGATAGCTCATTAGTTAATCCTACCCCTGGAAGCACCCATACGGGTACCATATGTTCTCACTGCTCCACTTCCCACCCAGATCCCTACTAATGGCCTGGGAAAGCAGTAAAGGATGGCCCAAAGCCTTGGGACCCTGCACTCACACAAGGGAGTCAAAAGAAGCTCCTGTTTTCAGATCGGCTTGGGTTTAAGTTTTTGGGGTCACTTGGGAAGTGAACCAGTGGATGGAATATCTTCCTGTCTTTTCTTTTCATAAATCTGCCTTTCCAATAAATTAATCTTTTTTTAACTACACAGTTTAGTTAGTAATACTGGTTTAGTGTAGACTGATTATTACCCATATCCCACACTAACTTTAGATGTTAATAATAGGGGAGATGAGCAGATGGAAGAGATTATATAGTGGAATTCTCTGCCCTTTCAGGGCAATCTTCCTCTAACTGTATAGTCACTTTAAAAATGAAGGCTGCTTTTTAAAGGGGGGAGCAGGGGTATAGCAAGTTATAATGCCTGTGTTGTACAGTGCAGCAGGTGGGTTCAATTTCCAGTTCTGACTCCTGAAATTAGCTTCCTACCAAGGCACCTATGAATATAGGGGTCAGTACCTATGGATCAGGTAGTTGAGTTTCTGCCACTCACTTTGAAGACTTTCACTAACTTTCCAGTCCTGGCCCAGCCAGGAAATAAACGGTATTTAGGAAGTAAACAAGAACTTATTCACTTGGAATCTCTCTCTCTCTCTCAAGGAAGGCAGGCAGGCAGGCAGGCAGGCAGGAAATGACAAGCTCATCATCAAAGTAAAATTAAAATCATAATCAAAGCAGACAAAGAGTTCAGATCCTGGATGTTTTAAAGGAAGACTACAAAAGTCTTATGGAATCACAAAAATGAGACAGCAAAAAAGTCTGATCAAAAATGAACAACTACATTTGGAAAACAAACAGATGAATAAACAAGTAAAATGGCTCAAGATAAAAATTTAGGGCAAGCCTTGAGGTACATCAGATCAAGGTGCTGCCTAAGACACTGGCATCCCAGCAGCATGCCAGGGAAAGCAGCAGACTGGACTAAGTATTTGAGCCACTGCACCCCTAAGGTAGGCCCAGATGAAGTTCCTGGCTCCTAGCGTCAGCCAGCCGAGCCCAGCCCCAAACATTGTGGCCATTTGGGTGCGTAAACCAACAGACAGAATATCTCTTTCTCTGTCTTATATCCCTGTGCCTATGAAACCGTATCATGAAAAAAAATGATTTTTTAAATTATATGTATATATACATATATATACACACACATAAATATATCATCAGTTAAGTTGCCAATGAGATACACCTAAAAGAGACCAATGACTTGAAGAAAACTACTTAACAACCAGCACAAAGTATGTCTGTGCTAGAAAATAACACATTCATACTGCACAATAAATTACTGGTAATGTGTACATTAGCAATGTTAGTAAGATACACTTACTGAGGTTTTATAACTAAAGCATGACTATTCAACCAACAGTGGGTTTCTCAAGAGCAACCACTGTAGCCAGCAGACATGCAGTAAATATCACCAGAAGTGAGTGAAAGTATTGATACAAGTTTTTGTATCTAACGACATGAATGTATAGGCCCTAACAAAATCATCTCTAAATGTATAAAGAATCATTAGCACTACAGGGGGAAACTGGCAAACCTATCACCATTGCAGAAACATCAACATTTTTTTCTCATTTGCTGATGCCAAGAAAGCATAAATATAAATAAATGATTTGTGATTTATAACTGATCAATTAGCCACATATAAAGAATCATTCATTCACAATCATGCCAAGACTATTTGGGGGAGTAGGACACGTTTGGGTTTTTGTTTTTTGCAAAATCTTGCAAAATCAAAAATACATTTTTCCAAAAGCACAAAGAGATTTTTTTTCAAAGAATAGACTTTTTTGAAAACAGAAGTAAACATTCTATTGATTTTCTAGAACATGTGTAAAATATGCATTTTCAAAGAAAAGTATTCTAACTTGGGGAAGTACAACACACCACTTGACATCTGAAAATGCAGCCTCACACTAAAGTGCCCAGAATTTATCAAGAAGACCTCGGTTCTATCTCAGCTGTGCCAGTGGAGCTGACACTGCACAAGTCCCTGGGTTGTCCAAGCGTCAGTGCATTGGCCCTTAGAGATGGAACGTGGCTGAGCTCTATAAAGCTTGCTGTAACTACCAAGAGGTCCTACAGGTGGCAACACTTGTTAGGAGACAAGCTGTGCATATCAAGTACTAAATCAATGTTCTTTCCTCCCGCTTCTCAACTACCCGACAGAAGACTTCCATTCCTCCTGAAAATCGGGTCATACAACTAATTCCCACGGCACAGAAATAAAACAACTTAGCAATACGTCATGAAATCATAATAGACAAAAATCAAAAACTTAGTGGTTGGGCCCGACACTATAGCATAGTGGTTAAAGTTCTCACCTTGCACGCACCGGTTGTAATCACGGCAGTCCTGCTTCCCATCCAGCTCTCTGCTTGTGGCCTGGGAAAGCAGTCAAGGACAGCCCGAAGCCTTGGGGCCCTTCACCCAAGTGGGAGACCCGGAAGAAGCTCCTGGCTCCTGGCTTTGGATTGGCTCAACTCCAGCTGTTGCAGCCACTTGGAGAGTGAACCATCAGATGGAAGATCTTCCTCTCTGTCTCTCCTCCTCTCTAATAAAAATAAATAAATCTTAAAAAAAATAACTCCGTGGCAATAAGAGGAACTTACTCCTAAGTAAGATGGCTGGCGGCCTATCAGTTCAACTTTGCTAGGAAATTCTTCAGCATTGTGTTCTAATTATCTCCTGCTATGTCACTCTTCACCCTCTTTATCAAACACAAAAGCTAGAACAGGTAAACCCAGACAAGGAGTTTACATTCCCAGAGACTGAAAAGCAATTAAATAAAAAAAGGCGTTTAAGCAGTTCTAGGCACTATCAGTGTTGGCCTGCATTTACCTTACCATCACCACTAAAAGACGCCCTAAAATACTGTTTATAAAGAAAACCAAACAAACAATACTATGTACTTGGTAAACTGTAAAGATAGCAACCTATTAACCCACAGAAAACTAACACCCACCTGACGGAACATCACCACCTTACCTCTGGCAATCCAGCATGGACGCAGCAAAGCAAGCCGGCCTTTCCCTTAGATGTTTTAACACATTATGTAAGGCCGTGTCACAAACGGAAGAAATGACAAGAGATGGCTTGAGGTGATGACCGAGAGTCACCTCCCTCGACAGATCCTCAGTTCCACTCCTTCCCTCTCCTTCCCTCTGCCTCCTACCTTCCGATTCCTACACAGCAGCACTTACAGTAAGAACGGGCGAAAAACTCAAGTACGAAGCAGTAGCACCTGATAACAATTAACCCACGTGCAGCTCTGCAGCGTGAACTGACTCGGCAAATGAAACCCTAGGTTCTACCGCCAGGACCAAGACGGTCTTTATCAACAATTCTGAAAGGAGAGCGTGAGATCACCCATCGGACTGGGTTGTTTGCAGGAGGCCCTTGGGAACGAACCTCCATGGGCTCTTCGCCACCTTTCACTTGGCGCTCGCCCACTTCCCCGCTCTCGTAGCTGCTGCTCTTCTCCACCCACAGCTCCGACTTCTCCACGGTCAGGCGCAGCTGGTCTAGATCGGCCTTGATTTGCTTGTAGTTATCTACATCTTGATTGGATACCAGCAGTTGCACCTGAGAACAGAAGAATTTCACTTCTTATAGAACTTTGTTCTTCTTTCTCTTACCTCTAAAACCCCAACTCTTTTAATATGCATCTCTCCCTAGTTCAAGTGCAATGCTCTTACAATTCACATGAATATTTTAGATTATACTGACCATGAAAACTTAGCTGGAAGCACCTGTGAACTCAATTTATTCACATGCTGCCAAAAAATAATCAACGTGAGTCCTAACAACATTTTCCAAAGTACCAACGACATCTCAACTCTTTACTGCCAAGTTAGTTTTTCCAAGATATTATCTCTACCTCTATTTGAAAAGAAGTAGAAACACAAAAACAAGCAGAAAACAGTGGTTGATAAGCCTTATGGTACAATTTTTCTTATTGTCATTTATGTTTTATATGCACCATTATGTGTATTCATATAAAATATAATTCATGATATTTCATTATTCATACTATTAGTTCTTAACATTTATAATTATGTCACATTCTTCAACAAATTCCTGTACATGTCAATGCCCTATTACATAAAAATAAGTATCAGAGGGGCAGACATGAAGAATCTAAGTATTCTAAAGATAAATAATCTTAACCTAAGGAAAGGATGAGATCCACAGCAGTTCTTTTCTTTTAGATAAAGACATTTTTTTCAATCCCAAAGTATTTATTTTCAGGGCTACTGCTTGACGTTATCCAACATGATCAGGTAAATTTGGGGCCAGAAGAACAGCAGGGACAATCACATTCCACAGTATGATTTCCCTTAGTGCCTTCCTAAATCCTAGCACTTAGACATTTGTGTTAAAGATAGTAGCTGAAAGTCAGTTGTGGGGAACTCTTCCTAAAACAGATGCCGTTGTAGTGTGAACAAAGCCACATTTGCCTTTACCACCAGCAAGAGTTCCCGGGCAAAGGCCACGCTGTTTCTTGAGCTCTTGGCTCAGGCAGTATGGCTGGACATCATACCCAGCGTGCTCAAGGGGTCCGCCCGGGTCGCACCTGTTTGAAGGCCTGCAGGACCTCGGCTCGCTGGCTGAAGTGCTTGAACAGCAGCTGCAGGGCGCCCGAAAGCAAGGGGGCATAGTCGTGCATGATCAGATGAATGAGGACCCGAAGGAAAGTCCTCCCTCCCTCATCATCAAGCTGCACTGGATTTTTTTCCTTTCTGTAAGAGCAAAGATAGATACAGTTTAATCCAACAAAAGCAAAAGTAATTCTAAAACACCTTCTATTTATGTCTCACCTACACGCTTTACCAAAACTGTGTTTACATTCTCAAAGAGTATTTGGCCAAATTAGGAGGTACGAAGGAGGAGTTTTACGTTCTCCCTGCCTCATACAGCTGATGAGGAAACAGTAACAACTTGTGTTTGCCAGTGTAAGCCAGAAGAACCAACTGTCGTGGTCTGGCCAACTTCAAACGGTAAAATAACCCAGGCAAACCAGGCATAGGCAATGGACAGGCTTTTGCAACAATTCAAACGTCTCTCTTGGAAAGACATGTTTGGCCCAGTGACAGATTTTTCCCCAAATACCTAGAGGTCCATACCCCCTGACATGTGTGGAGGGGCCAGGGTCAGGCAGTGCACACACGTGCGAACTATCGTCAAGACAATCCATGTGTCTAACACTGCAAGACTGTAAGTAGGATTCCACCTACACACTGAGGAATGTGTCACAGCGCAGACATCATGGAAACACCACACAAACCTAGGCAGTGGAGCCCACTGCACACCAAGGGGAAGAGAAGGGGAGATGGCATTCCTCATGGGACCACGATAAACATAGCAACAGAAAATCAAATTAAGCATGAGAGAAAGTGATGTTGAGAGACACACAGTGATGAGGCTGTTGTCTGTGTGACCCACGTCACTGCTCTATGGCAAACTTTTTGCACACATGAGTAAAAGGAGAATACTCTAAAATAACGGTAAAAGCTTAAGTAAACACATCAGTTGACAACACAGTCATCTGCTGTCATTCCCAGTATTACACATTGTACATGTCGCTACACCAATAGTGTTGTTGGTGTGTCCGTATTAATGTCAACACAACCATGTGAGGAGTGCATTGTTCTGTGATTTTAACACAAGTGCAATGTCACTACGTGACAGAAAATTTTAGCTCCATTGTAAGTTTATGGGACTTCCCTGGTAGACGACATCCACTATTTACTGATGTGGTCTTAGGGTTTCACTGTACTTTAAGGTGGGATCATATAATGGTACATTCTCTCTTCTCTGGAGCAATAAAATACTTTAATCAGAAAATAACAACATCAAACACTGGTCCTACAACATAAAAACAAAGCTAAATTCAATGAATGTTCACTACAGACAAATTCTTTTGGGCTCCCATAACCTTTTTTTAATCTTTGCTTTTTCTTTAAAAAAAAAAATAAATAAAAGCCTAATAGTGGGGCTGGCAACAAGATACAACAGGCTGAGCCACCACTTACGATGCTGGCCGCCCAGATGCAAGCAGCAGTTACAGCCTTAACTGCTCTGTCTTATGCAACCCCCTGAGAAGGCACTAGAAGACGGCCCACGCTTTGGGGCCCTTGACACTTACAGGACAGACCAGATGACACTCCTAGCTGTGTGTTTTGGTCTGCCCAGCCCCAGCCATTGTGCTCAACCAGGGAATAGGACATACACACCTCTCTCACTTGCAAATAAATAAACCTTGAGTTTATAATTCCTTTTTTGTTTGTTTTTTTTCTTGTTGTTTGGTTTTTTTTACAAAAAGTTTATAATATTGACTTTTTTCCAGATATCCATGCCATGTCTGTCACATAAACAAACACTGGAAAGTCAAAACTTTCAGCTTAGGGGCCTGGCGCGATGGCATAGTGGTTAAAGTCCTCGTCTTGAACGCACCAGGATCCCATGTGGGTGCCAATTCTAATCCCAGCAGCCTCGCTTCCCATCCAGCTCTCTGCTTGTGGCCTGGGAAAGCAGTCAAGGACAGCCCGAAGCCTTGGGGCCCTTCACCCAAGTGGGAGACCCGGAAGAAGCTCCTGGCTCCTGGCTTTGGATTGGCTCAACTCCAGCTGTTGCAGCCACTTGGAGAGTGAACCATCAGATGGAAGATCTTCCTCTCTGTCTCTCCTCCTCTCTGTATATCCACTTTTCTAATAAAAATAAATAAATCTTTAAAAAAAAACTTTCAGCTTAAACATCTTTTTCACGTTTCCTTTTTGCTCACTATCGGCTTTATTTCTAAAACAGAACGCAAACTTTCAACAGCATATTGCAGGGTTAATGAGATGGCACGGGGCAGTGGGCATGCTGAAGACATCTGGCTTGCTTTAATCAAGCCTATTTCCAACTGCCAAAAAACAGCCTTATTTCTTACACATAAAGATACAAGGTTTATGATAATACCCAAAAAAAGTTACTTTCTTGCTTCAAATGTCTAAGATTCAGGGAAGATGTTACAGTATTTATGCCAGCCCATGTAAAGGCCACTCCTATGCAGTCAGCATCTGAGGAAGACCAGCCCAGAATTCGGGGACCAGTCCAGAACACCAATCTCATCTCACCAGTCCTTTTTGTTGTTGTTGTTCCCCCTGACCTAAAGAAGAGCTGTGCTTTAGAGCAAATCAGCAGCTGCATGGCTGTGTCAGCAGCCAGAAGCTCTGAAAATAGATGTGGGGAGGTGAATAATAATGGAATATCAATGAAGGTCTCAGTCAGATCTTCCTAGCGAAGAGAAAGAGGTCTCTGCACTACGGTACCTTCCAGCAAACATGGTCTCCGCCTGTGCCGCAATCTCCTCTATGTCAGGAACAATAGCTGCAAAGACAAAAGGTAGGAATCCATTCTTCCTCTTGACTCAATCAAGGGGATCAACAGTCACATGCCTATTAGCTGACCAGAGAAGGTGCCTTGGCTTCAGTTCTTTATGCCACCCAAAGACAACCAGCAGTCAACAAAGACCACAGAGTTGCATGTAAATCATGTTTTCCACTAATACATTGTCATGGTCAGAGATGCATTTAAAAGGTTCAAGAATATCGCTTGTAAAGACACCTCTTTCCGAGCTGTAGATAACATATCATATCTGTCATATTTATAACTCAAATGAAGGATGACATACAAAAAGAGACTTGTCTGAAGAATCAACATGCTCAGTGAGCCTTGTCACTACACAATGTTTCTAGACAAGTAGCTCACTTGGTTTGCCCGAGTCCACCCCTTCTGCTCGGAGGAAGGCCTGATGACTTGGGGACATATGCTCTACTGACGTGAAGAGACTTCTATTGAGGTAATGCGCCTGAGTGACACACAGGCCACGCATCTCCCATCTCGAAAGCACAGGAAGGAAAACAGGGCAGAACACGGAAGGAGAGCAGAGACTCTCCCAGCTGGCATCCCTGGCACACCCGAACGCAGTGCAGGAGAAGGCTCTACGGCCTTTCCAGGGGTGCCCCTGGCCCTTTCCGGTGGCCCCTACCCACAGGCAGAGGGGAGGTTTCCAGCAGCCTGGTTCCTGGAAGCCAATGACTATTACGTTACTGTCAATTCAACTGCCAGAGAGATTTTTTGGTTCCACCACATTGTGCCGGGAAGCACCCTTTGCAGTTCTACACTCCTGGGAAGCAGACAACACTGGCAGAACATGCCAGAAAGGACTTATCGCATCGGCGAGGCAGGCTCCTCCTGCAGAGACAAGATGCTGCCTTTGGGATGCCCCTGCCAACTCAGACACAGGCAGTGGCACCTGTAGCCTGGTACCCGTGTAACTGCACACGTGTGAGCCCCAAATCACTCCTGACAAGCTGATTGACAAGCAAAGGATAGTTCTAGCCCTGTCGCAGTGGTTGGAAGGAGGATTTTTCTGCCTGTAAAAATCCCATCCTCAGACAAAGAATTCAGGTCTACTTCATCAATAACGTGGAGTTTCCGGTCTGGCAGGATTGACTTGACACATCCAGAAAAATGATGTTCTTGTATTTCCTCCTTTTCCTGAAGTTCTTTCTATAGTCACAGTCATTTTTAACCATTTTTGTGCTCTGTTACTGCTACACTCCCCCACACACAGAGGTGCGATGGCTTTGTTCTCACGCTTTGCTAACGTGGAAATGCAAATACACTTCTAGTCTGTAGCCATGCAAAGGAAAAGAAGCACAAAACAAAATTCAAAAGCACATCCAGGCCTCTGAGGACCACACCATCATCATTCCCGAGCCTGCGGGCGGCGGCCCAACAAGCAGCTGTCCCTGCGGATGGCTGCATTCACACTGCAAATCCAAGCTCAGAAATCCCTCCGACTCTTTCCTGCCCAGCTCAGACTCCACCGTCGGAGACCTCAGCAGGCATTCCCCTTCCACAATTTCCACATCCGTCAGCAAGTCACTGAGGCCCAGTGGCCCTGCTTTCCTCATTTGGAGCGTAGCACAGTAACTGGCTGGGATGCCAGGTACAGCCATGCTGCTGCCGGCTACACCACCTCTTATCTCATTGAGCTGTGACAACAACGAAGGCCAAGGTGCTCACAGAACCCAGCAACAAACACGAAGCACCTCCTGCCACGGCAGTGAGAAGGCTCCCGGTCAGCTCTGTTGCACAGGGTGTCTATGACAGCTGACGGCAACACAAGCAGTCCTCAAAAAGTTCATGGCAAACACGGCCTAGGTAAAACCTGTGTGTGGATCTCAAAGTTCGTGCAACAAAATCATCTTTTCTCCCATTTCCCATGAACTCTTTCAGGTTTCCTTGGATGATTCTGTTTCAAAAAGCATGAGAGGCAGAAAGGGCGGATCAAGTCACCTGAGGGCAGTAGTGTCTCCGGAGAGCCCGAGGCGGCCGTCTCTGCATTCTCACTGCTCTCGCCAAACTCCTTCTTGTAGATGGACAGCATGTAGGAGATCCTGTAGTCCAGTCTGACGCTCAGGATGAACTACGAGAGACATAAAGCCAACAAGACAACCTTCTCATCATCCCAGAGTTCATCCAGGTGGCTCAGCTCAGCACACGCCATGCACCACGGCTATCACAGGAACTCCCAACACTTCAACAACCTACATCTTGTCCATCTGAAGAACAAGACGCATTTCTAACAGCCAATGTCACTTTCTGGAAACACAAGAGAATCTGTGACTGGCAGGGTGCTAAGTGGGCTCATGAGGCCCACAGTTCAGGGGACTGAACTTCAAGTGCTTTTTAAGGGTCATGAACACAGTGTTGGGAAATCTGCTAATATTTCTCAGGATTCAGCCTTTGGAATTCCTACAGCAACTGTGCAATACTTTCTGATTATAAATCTAATTACTTGAAGTAAAAAATATACAAACCCTTTCCAGGACTGCTAAATCACTTCTGGTAGATTAGTCTATATTAAAACTATGATGCAGGACTTAGCAATCTACTTATAGAATCCAAAGAAGATTCCAAAATGCCAGGCTCCTTGGAATAAGCTACAACTGAGACACATAAAACTGTGCTTACCTTTAAAAATGACAAGAATTTAGACCCAGCACAATGGCCTAATGGCTACATCCTCACCTTGCATCCACTGGGATTCCATAGGGCATCAAGTTCCAGATGCTCCACTTCCATCCAGCTCCCTGCCTGTGGCTTGAGAAAGCACTGGAGGATGGTCCAAAGCATTGGTATCCTGCACCCATGTATGAGACTGGAGAAAGATCCTGACTTTGAATGGGATCAGCTCTGGCCATCGCGGCCACTTGGGGAGTGAACCAGTGTACAGAAGATCTTTCTCCCTCTGTCTCCTTCTCTGTAAGTCTGCCTTTCCAATAAAAATAAACAAATCTTTCTTAAAAGTACTAAGAATTTACAGCTACAGTAATGCAAAGCTTATTAACTAAGTCAGTGGGTATGAAATCATTTCTCTCCCTTAAATTCACAGAGCTTGGTATCAGACTGGGTTAACTAAAAAAGTTGGCTCTTTCAAAACAAAAGCACAGAGACAGTCACTGACTCAAAATATGGGAAGCAAACATTATTTCATTTATAATTAACTTTATATAGACAAATAGTTATCTGTCCAACTCAAAAAAAATATAATAACAGCTAGAAATCAATTGCTAACTTTGCTTGTTCCAAAATCTTTCTCAAACCAAGGTAAATTTCACAATCAGCACTAAATGAAGAAACACATGCATGGCAGTCTGTTCCCTCAACCTCAAAGCACAATGCAACTTGGAGATACTATCATAAGTTTATCCAATGGGAATGTACAGGTGCAATTAATATGCAAAACACCTGTGTGAGATTTCTTCCCAGGCTTTTAAGAAAATAAAAGCCAGTGTACCGCCTTTCAGAAATATTTACAGCACTTGAAAGAGGTGCCCAAGTCGGTAACCTGTCCCTTGGTCATGTTGTGGCATGGCACAACCCACCTGTAGAATCTCAATGATCTTTAGCTTGGTGTCCATCACAGTCACGTCCTCGTGCTCACCCGGGCTCGCCTGCTTGCTGGGATGGATGCTGGGCTGGACGTCGGGTATGCTCACTGGGAAGATGGAGCCCCTGCTGAGCACCATCTGCGTCATCATCTCTCCCACCCCGTGGATCGTCCGCATGACGTTGTTTCCTGGCATGAGAAGAGGCCTCCGGTCAACACACGCAACCCCTGAGATGCACAGCTGGTCACAGCCGCAGCAGAATCAGGGCGGGATGAGCAGCAAGCATAGAGAAGAAGAGCAGCAGTGTGGCTCTGGATCAAGTGATGCTAGGGCAGGTGACTTTCAGGACACCAGAGTTTAGAAAAGGAAGTTGGCCTTTCAGAGACGATGCTTTCAAAGCAGATTCAGATGTTAGTGTCTGTAAAACCTAAATTCGGCCCTTCTGCAACAGAGCAAGTCCTATCAACATAATACCAATAGCCCTAAAGTTTGCACCAGTGAAAAGGAATTTCATTTCTATGATAGAGTGGATTGTGAAAGAGGCTATGAATATTACATGAAAACACACAGTTCCTGAATTTTTCTTGTGTTCTTGTCCTATACTCAAGCAAGGACTTTCCAGCTTTCCTGTAGTAACACTTATTAAATGAGCTTCCTAAGATATTATGGCAACCTTGTTCTATGAAAATGCACCAATTCCCACTGGCAAAGAAGCAATGCATTGGCCAGTCCATGTGCCATTCATTCCTTCAGGAAATCTGAACAGAAATCCACCGAAAGTCATTCTGGAGGAGTGGATGCTGTGGCACGGGGGGGTTACGCTGCCACTTGAGATGCTAACCTTCCATGTCAGACTGTCAGTTCAAGTCCAACTACCCCTGCTTCCAGTCCAGCGTCCTGGCTAACGAACATTCTAGGTGGCAGCTCAAGTCCTCAAGTCCCTGCCATCCATGGGAGAAACCCAGATGGACTTCCTGGCTCCTGGCTTCGGCCTGACCCAGCCCTGACTATTTGCGGACATTCGGAGAGTGTACTACTAGGTGAAAAGATTCCTCTCTTTCCCTAAAAAATAAATAAATAAATAAATCTTTAATGGAAAGCAAGCATTCCATTTGAGGTCATCACGAAAACAAGCTAGTGACAAACATAACTTTCTCCACTGAAAGGTCACTCTCCTCTCCAAGTTGTCTTCTGAGTTGGCCTTCTCATCCATGTGCCCACCCAAAAGACCACATGATTCTGGCCTGTTGGGTACCAGAAAGCCAATGAAAGAAGAGTGGATGAATCACCTGGCAGGGAGCCTGGCAATAATAAATAAATAAATAAATAAATAAATAAGGTGAGGCAGGTGGAGATAAAGGTGAAGGCATTTTTATTGCCTTGGACACTGCTCCCTACACTGGTGGACGTACCAGCTGATACTGCCACCACTTACATGCTGCACACTGTTTCTTAATCGTAAGTTCCTACAACAAAGCAACAAAGGACTCAAGAGAACTGCTGTCTCCTTCCTCTCCCATGCAGTGGCCTTGGCTTCGTGGGTGTTCGAGGGGTTTGCCCTAAGCAAAAGCCTAAGAATCTGGCCAAGATTCTTCCTTCCCCCAAGTGTGTCAAGGCGTAAACTCAGAGAAATGGGAATGAAAATATGGCGGGGGTAGGATGGAACATTCAGCTCTAAGAACAGCTCTGAACAGAAATGGTGGACTCCCTACAGGACCGGCAGGGAAGACAAAGAAAAGAGAAGGTGATTAAAAAACAACCCAGAGAATCTGGGGGAACCCAGGCCACAAAAGCCACCAAACCACAGGGGACCCAGCAGGGACTGCACAAGGTGACGGAAGGTCTTTGCAAATTCATCAACATATCCACAGACAACAGTGCATGGGAAAGAAGGGAGTGTCCCAATTACACTTTTTAGAGTATTCAAAAAGCAAACATTTGGCTACAATGCCAAAATCTAGGTACTCTCAAAAGTTCACTTTTCCATAGGTAAGTCAAGTGCCTTTTATTGTATTGTTTCTTGCATAACAAAGGAAAAAAACACCTAAACGCAATCTCTAAGTTTGGACAAAGCTGGAGTGAAAAGGACCGTGATGCCCCCTCTTTTCTATCAGAAACAGTCCAAGGCCAAATGTTTGCATTGCCTGTGGTTCTTGAACAGTCACTGCAATTGAAAAAAAAAAAGGAAAGGGAAAAAATTTCCAAACACCACTCCACCTCACTCCCTGCCACCCATTGTCAGATACACAGATGGAGGGAGACCCCGCTGCTGCTGGCAATGGCTTTCAGTCGTCAATGTTCGACCAGCACATTTATGTGAGTCTTCATTCAATGCTCTTGGGTGAGTTTCTGAGATGTTTTCTCACCACTAACACAGAACAGGCCCCTTTGCTATTCTCACCCTGGATTCACACAGACATTCTTGGCACCCACAGTGTCTGCATCTTATTTAGATTTGCATGGAAAATAATCATTTAATTCAAATGACTATTACAAAGAAAGTTAGCCTAGACATTTCTTTCCCTAAATATAGATCCTGTCATCAAGACATTAAAAGACAGGCCAGAATCACATTAATATACAACACATGTTGTCGATGCAACGGGAAGGTTCATTCCAGTGGTACCACATCCTTAGATGCCTGAGGCATGGGGCAGCCACCAAACTCTCCTGACATTTCCATGTATGGCCAACTCAGAGGTCTCAAATTAGAAGATGCTATATTTTCTGGATTTGTTTAGTGGTAATGAGAAGCATTTAAATTGTCAACTATCGCAGCTCAGAAAGTGTAAGTCAAATACTACATAGATCACAGACATGCCCAACTTAAGTCTTCATTTTTTTCCACAGGATCATTTTTCATTCTAGACTGTTAAGTCAATACTACAAAGAAGAAATCTTACTACCTCTCTTCTCGGCCTTAATTATTTAATGTTGATGAAAAAGTATTCAGGCAACACACTACTGTTTTCTACTATCAGTTCTCTAGACAACTCAGTTCCAGGAACACAGCTTTGCTAAGGCTTTCATATGAACAGAGTGGCCACACTTTGAATTTATCTACAAAGCACATTGAGATAACTGGGAAAAAGTGGGGAGTCGTCTCAGGTAAGTCAAGAGTAAGAAGGAAGGAACTACACATACAGAAAAGCAGATGAACTTACCAGGTTCTTTCCTAACATAATTGCATAGATATAGTCACCAATCCTCCCTCTTGTTAAAACACAAAATAATAGGCATATGTAATACTAAATGCAGACTGGGAAAAGCTTCAGAATATATGACTTTGCTTCTTTGATTGTTCCAGTGGGCTCAAGTGTGTTAACAATTAAACAGAGTGAGGAGCAATGGTGAATTCACATAATGTGAAAGCCATCCTGATCAAATGCTAATGTTCTTATTCAAAAGTTATTTCATCATTTCATTGCAGCAATCGTTGTCGGGTTCAACAGCCATCACGGTCATTTACAGATAGGAGAAGTAACAGAGCCTTATCCGAAATTTACCTTAAATCCTTTGGTTTTTTGTTGTTTTTGTCTTAAAGTCTTCTCAGCCCATTTTCACTAACAGAAATACTTTTCTCTCATGAACATAATACAAATAATTATTTGAATATTCTTGTTTAGATTTTAGATAAAATTTCTAAAATGTGCTCAACATTCTGAGAGATGACAGATCTGACTAGATGACTTCTATGTAACTGTTCACAGCAATTTAATTGTTCTATGACTACCAAAGTCAGCTCAATGTTTTATATTAATACAAGCCAAAAACTAAATAATTCAAAGACCATGCTTATTTTCCCTGAAACATATTCTAATAGTTGGATGTGAATAAGTGCATCTGCTGTTAGAATAAATTATGGGAAGCACAATGATGGAAACCTGGAAGCCATGACCCAGGAAGTCTTCCCCACACCCCTCCCAGTTCAGTAGCTCCTTAGCAGCCTGTGCTTGTAGAAAACACCCACACGTTGTGGAACTAGAGCAATTTTCTACTGAGTTATTCTCTGGAACAGTGCTTCCTCCCAGTGACTACTGGTTTTTTGTTTGTGTTTGTTTGAAAGCCACAGCAACATAAAGAGAGGGGGGACACAGACAGAGATCTGCCATCCTCTGGTTCACTTCCCCCAAATGGCTGCAACTGCCAAGATGGCCAGGCTGAAGCAAAACGCCGCGAACTCCATCCTGGTTTCACCTATGGATGGCAGGAGTCCAAGTGCTTGGGCTATCCCCCTATGCACAGCAGCAGGGAGCTGGATCAGAGGCAGAGCAGCCAGTCCTCCAACACGGGATGCTAGCAAGACGAGCAGCAGCTTAACCAGAACACCAACCCAGGATTCAGTACGTTAAGAGATTTTCCACACACAGAAAAGAGCAAAATCATTAACATGAGAAAAAAGCCTTAATGGAGGTAGTGACACTAGCAGAGTTACAGGTTGTAAGGTACCCCTAGAATAAATAGAAAATCAAGATGTAACACCCAGAGAAGACAGGAAGACAACCAGCACCCACTTTCTAGATTACAGCACAGCATTCTGAAGAAGCAGATAACTACATCATTCCAGGTTTTACTACACATGCCGAGTCTGCAAAGAATTTGCCATACCTCTTCCTGTAAGTGTCTTGCCCAAAGAATCGCCGCCTAGCTTGCTCCTTTTACTCCTTTCAGATATGAAATGCCAGGTCTCCTCTGTGGGCAGCCCTCTTCCATGGACCCTTGCTAAAGGACAGCCATAACTCATAATTCATGCACCTACTTCATGTATCAGTTTTGACATAATCACTGTCACCTCATACTATATGATTATGTATTTATTGCATTCCCTCTCTCCAACAGCAACAAGAAGCATAAATTCCATGAAGACAGTGATTCCATCTTTTTTTCTACTATATTCTAACATTGTGAATGGTTCCTGATACACAATAGTCATTTTAATATAGGTTTACTAACTTAGTCATGAAAAATAAAGTGTATTTATTTTTCATCAAACTCTTAACGATGAGAATGGTCTTTTATGATAAGCTTTGTCTAAAATGTGAATATTAGAGTCTTTAAAATATTTTGGACCTGTATATTGTTATGAAGTATCTCACACACATTCATCCATGAGGAGCAAGCTCTGAAAGCAAACTCATGTCTCACTTATTTAACTACGGGAGTGTGCTCTGAGAAGCCCATCCTGAGGCAATTCCATTACTGTGTAAACATCTTAGACGTGTGCTTACACAAACATAGATGCAGCCAGCAGTACACCTTGGTCAGATGGCATACATCATCACTTAGGCAATCACCAGTGACCGACATGGCATAGGCCTGTATGTGCAAGATACAGAGGCAGCTCATTGGTACCAGGGCAACTTCAAGAAACAACAGCAGCCATGTCTTGACTCATACCGTGAATACCCTTGAATATCAATTTAAGGAGCTCACTTATTACTCCCCAGCAAAAGATGAGTGCTAAGAAAAGAGGCAGAACATGTCATTCTCACGGATGCTCCTGTTGGAATATAAAGCAAGTCAAAAGCAGTCAGGAAGAGCACGCAGACACCAACTGCACGAAATGGAAGACAGACATTCAGCTTTAAGAGACATTTAGACGGCAAAATTGTTCACTTTCTTTCTGCCAAAACCATCTGGACATTTGTGACATTAAAGAGATAGGCTATACAAAAACTGTCAAATAAAACATTAGCTTGCTATAGATACACTGATTTTCAAGTCCCACCTGTAGGTGCTTGGCAGAACCTGGCCAAAAGATTTGTGGACTTTCTGCAGCCCACAAGCTGGACGCACTGCTTCCCTAAAACAATAAAGGCAGTCCAAGCTAAATCAAAACTTCTGAAAATGTACTAAAGCTTATTATCTTATCCTGAACTTTTTTTCTGGGAGAGTCAGTGACATGAGTCAGTTCCCCACAAGCCACTGACTGCAGGTTACCCTGCACGTAGCACTCCCAGCAGCTGGGGCATAGCCTGCCATCTTTGGAAAGAAATGTGGGCAGGCACACCACTAACGTCTTTGGAAAACAGTGTGGGTCAAGATTAAGATCCCCTGGGAGGCTGTGATTGGGACTATAGGTCTTCCATGTCTCTTCTTGAATCTGTTCTTCAGACGCTGAGAGATTTCTATGATTTCATCTGCTGTGTGCTGTGCTGATGGCACTTCTGGTTGAATGTGTAATATTGCTTGCATGCCTTCACTTCCCTTTTCTCTTTAAGATTTAGTAATGTGGAAGTGCACAATTTCTTTGATGTGGAGGCTCACAGCAGGAGGAGCAGCTGCCTCAGGATGGATGTACCTCGTGCCCTCCTCCACTCCCACTTCTGAGTTGGGTGATTTTTAGATGAGACCTCTGATGTTGCAACAAGTTAAGATGTAAGAAGAATGTTTGGATGAAATGGGTGTATCTTGCATGTAAAAAGGACATGAATTTGGGGAAACCAGGAGCAGAGTACCACAGTCTATTTCCAAGTCCCCAAAAACTCTGTGGTTGACATCCTCATTCTCAGAATGATGATGGTTTTAAGAAAGCGGGACCTCTGGGGGGACAATTACACCGTAGGGCTGGGACCCTCCTGACTGACACCAGCTGCTGGGGTGCAGTGATGCACAGAGCAAGGGAAGGATCTGAATGTCCTAAGAACATGCCCATGGACACAAGAGAAAAGGCCAAGCCTGTCACTGAGGGTGGGACTCACAAGGGATCCTATTCCTTCTTTAAAAAAAAAAAAAAAAGCATTCGTGACAGCCTAGTGGCTTAATGCTCGCCTTGCACGTTTCAGACTCTCACATGGGCACTGTTACCTGTTCCAACCGCTCCACTTCCCACCCAGCTCCATGCCTGTGGGCCTGGAAAGCAGTCAAGGATGGGTCAAAGCCTTGCGACCCTGCAGCCATGTGGAGATCCAAAAGAAGTTCTTGGTTCCTGGCTTTGGATCAGCTCAGCTCCGGCCGTTGCGGCCGCTTGGGGAGTTAACTATCAGATGGATGATCTTTCCATCTCTCCTTCGCTCTGCAATAGCTTGCCTTTCCAATAAAAATAAGATAAATGTTTAAAATATAAAGGAAGAGGTACTTCAAAAACCTTGTGGAAACACAGAATTAAAAAGCTTGTTTTGGTTCGAAAGAGTACAAAATGAATACACTTTTTTTTCAAAATACGTATTTTCCGTGAACTTTTTGAAAACTTCTCAAAAATTAAAAATTGGACGCAAACCAACCTGGGTCAATGGCCCTACACTAACCACTCTCGGGCCCAGATGGTTGTGACACCTACTCTTGCAATTCAGAGTTGACACCCACCATGTTGCTCCCGAGAAGACCGCAGAATTGGAGTTCCCGCTTGTCTCCCGCTGTTTAAATGACTCTCTGTCGAAATAAAATACACCCATCCTTTTGTTAAAAAGAACAGTGACCCTGATGACTGGCAGTATAAATCTTTGTGTCGCAATGTCCTTTGGCAAGGCTAAAAAGCAACTGTATAATTTTAAAAATGAAATGTTTGCAAAGAATATAGAAAATCTGCCTCTTTTCAGCTGATGTGTGCACTTGCTTTTAACTTCTATACATGACAAAGAAGAGCACCGCTTGACATAATCCTTCTACCCCAAAGATCAATTACACTGAATGGTGCCTGTGCATTTCAAATCACAGGGCGCAAATGATAGGTATTAGGCAAAGCAAATTGACTCAACAACATAGCCTGCTGGGAGTGAATACATTTGTTTGAAAACATTATTTCTTTTCCTAAGCGAGTACACACATACACAGCTACAGAAGGCTAAGGGATTGATAGCTGGTGATTACAATGTTCCAGTTGGCTCCAGCACAGGCCAGAGAGCAGAGCCAGCTCCCTGTGGGTCCCTGTGAGAGCTCCTCCATCATTTTCTGAATGGACCACCTTGAGGGCACAGGAATAGAAGCTGCCTCTGAGCCTAGCAATTTCTGCTGAGCTGAGCATGCTAATAAGAAGCCACTGGGAAGCTGGGAATAAGACTCAGACCCCAACCAGCTCTAGGACGAAAACAACTAATGGGGAAGTGTAAGTGGGTCTGGCCTGAAGCACAGACCAGAACAGGAAACCTGCTGAAATTGTTCCCTTCCAGGCCAGCCATCCCTGCCGCCTCTGCCTTGAATGCCGATCTTGGATATCCAACCCTCCAGGATTTCCCAGGGGGAAAAAAAGAAATGAAAGCTCTGTGTGCACACCCTGCTGAAGACCGCAGGCCTGTTGGGCCTCCAGGATCCAAGAGCCTGAGCATTCTGAACATGATGGCTTCCCCAGTGCCCCCCCGGGGGTCTCCCCAGCATTCCTCTGCCAGTCCAGCCCCAGCAGTGCTGAAGGGAACCGGAGAGCACTAAATGAGACAGCGACAAAGGGCCTCCCCTTCTCTGGCAAGCCATGTTCCAGACATATCAGGAGTCTAGAAAACCGGACCATTTACTCAAAGAAACCAGTTTATGTAGCAATAATATTTATAAAATTAGTTTTTTCTGCTTTTATTTTTTTTTCTGTCTTCCAACTGAAATTAAATTTTCATTAAGATAGGGAAACGCAGTCCAAACCAATCACTTGAAGGCCAACAAGCCAAACCATGTTTTAGAATTCCAAAAACCCATTCTTTGCCAACACAGTATTTTCTTCATCAAGGACTCCAATTATTATTGCAATGCTTCTTCCTTGCCCTTGTCTGTTCATCATTATTACCAAACATCACTACCATTCTCTTCACTGTTCTGCCGTATGTTATCATGTCTTAATATATTTTAATACAAATCTAGCCCCCCCTTGAAGCCTTATGACTGTATTTCTAAAAATAAAGTCTAACATTTTATTCTTTACATTTCCAGAGTTCAAATGACTTTCACGTCAACTCTTTCATTTCTTTTAGTCTGTTTCTGAACCTAGCTAGTAAATTTGTGATTCCAGCTTCCTTTAATAGCACTTTCTAATGAAGATAATTGAAGCAACTTTTGTTTCACAGTTGCTTCTCAGAATGCATTTTCCAATAGCTGAAATGTTTTGATCACCCCACTTTGTTCAGCCTTAGAGCAGTCTGCTGTAAACTCAGACCGCTACCATCTCTGCATCCCCTAGATCTCCAGATGCAGAGCTCCCTCTCCTGTCAGAGTTGGGAAGTGCAGTTCTGTCCAGTTTGGCTTTAGGTGGGCAGGAGTGGAGGAGGAGTCGCTTCTGGCACCAAAATCAACTTACCTTTTAATTCTATTTTCCACAAACTTTTCTAAGTCCACTCACCAGTCCTTCCTTTTTTTTTGGCTTTCTCTCATCTGACAGCATTCCCGATTTCCCCCTCATTACCTTTTCCTTCACTCACACAATCCCCAAGAGAGCCCCAAACCCCTACCATTTAACCACACTCATCCACAGCCTACTCGATCACTCATCACTCATCTTCATAAACACCTGGGCACATCGCCAGGGGTTGTACAGTTGAGACGGACTCTCCGCTGCAGAGGGTAATTTACACACAGCCCCTGCTCCTGTTCCCGGTGCTTTTTCAGGGCTCTGTAACTGTCCACGAGGGCTTGCAGTGGACGAGCTCCGGAGATGCCTCTCCTGACAGGTGATGTTCACTTTGTCTACCTGCATCACTGACGTTGGTGCGCTCCTCCAGCATCCAGCTGTGTTGAGCAGGGTACAGACAGGGCTCAAATTGCTCCACGTTGATCATCAGGGCGGCTTTTCCAGACCTTGAAGCTGCAGCAGTTGATTGCTTCAGCTTCCGAGTCAGCTCCTCATTTGCACTTCTTAATCAGATATTTATTCCTGAAGTCTGAAGCTCGATTTCTGGATGTTCTTTCAGCTCTTGCAGCACAAACCGTGGTGGGTAGCATTGTGCTCCACCCACAGCTCTTCTGCATGACCGAGACACAGATCCCTGCATGTGCAGTGCCTCTCCCTAGGAACGACTGCTGACCAAAGGATGTGTCTTCCTGTCATCACGCAGCACCCTTCATGAGGGAGCCAGAGCTGGAGGATGGATGACACAGGGAGACCCAGCATGGAGTCCCCGTGCCTGAAGGGCCAGCCACACCCCAGAGCCACCTACAGGATTGCCTGGGGTCTCAGCTGTTGATTCTCTACTGCTAAGCTTCTCTTGTCCATCCCCCATCCTACCTCATCACACACACTCTTGAGTGCAAACCTCAAGAAACCATCAGCAAACCATTCTCTAGCTCAAGCTGTTTTCAGGCACCCAATCAAAGACAATCACTACACTGTCAAAAACTTCTACTGAGTTATGAGACAGTGTCACAAGCCTGTTAAACGTGCTGCTGGCTGTCCATTGCCTCTAACCAGGAAATAGAAGATGCTAGTATTGTCTTCATGTCTCAGATGAAATGAAGATAATCACAGGGAAGACAGGGATGCTGCCTAGGTCACTAAGAGGTTGAGGCAGGACGCGAACGCAGGCTGCTCTGACAACAACACCTTCTTGCCTCGGCTCCGCGGCCACACACACCAGCTCTGCACTCACTGTTCCTCTGGAATGGCCTGAGCCAGCCCTCTTCCGGCTCCCTTCTGCACTCTGCTAAGAAGCACATCTGGCACAACACCCACACCAAGACGACCCCACAGACGTTGAGATGCTTCCATCTCCTCAAACCCATGACATTCTCACTTGTGGATGGGTATAACATGACAGGTGGAATCCGAACTTGAGAATATGTGTTTTAAGTGTCTGTGGAAAACAGACAAGCACATTCATTCATTCAGCTCAGTTTCAGCACAGGACTATTTTCCACAGGCAGCAGCAAGTATATGTGCGTAAGTTTCCCACTCTGTGAATTTCTTTTTTATCTGGCTTCCAAACAACAACAAAAATCTAACATTTTTGAAAAGTCTCACCTCCATCTTGAAATTTGCTTAATCTTTCAAAATACGATGACATGGGGACCTGTACGATATCAAGGATGGCCAGGAGTGTTCTTGTGAGCCTCAATAACTCGCTGAAACTATAAAATCCAAAGTATATAAGGTTCCGAGCCAAATGGACAACCTTCACGAAAAAGAGGGGAGGAAGGGAGAGAAGAAAACCATTGGAGACCGAATAAACACTGCCCCATGATATTATCTACATGATTTCAAACAGTTCTAAGCATCCTAATTATTAATACCTAGGAATTGAAATACCTGCAAAACCATCTACTTGAACTGCACTACTCAAACCTTGAATTAATTCCAAATAAGATGTTGGTTACTTTAAAGCGATTAAAGAAGTTTATACTTAAATTATCTATCAGTTAATTATTAACTCACTGAGGTCATTAGGATACCACTTAACAGATGGTTATACGATAGTTACTTTTAATAAGAATATTACCCATAAAATTTGTGTAGAAATACTACAGCCTCGCCCCCTGCAATTTGTGACCTTGTGGATAACCAAGGACAAGAGAAAGCATCCCATGGGTGGCCCTGACGTACAGTAAACTACTACACTGCACCAAGTAGTCTGTGTAACCAGCTGAGTAGGTCAGAAGTGGTAACATGTCACCTCCAAGACTGGATTACACAGGACTGCAGCCCTGTGTTCGAGGGAAAGCCAGGTGCCCCATCACGCAGACACTCAGGCAGTCTCCAGGCATGTCCACGAGGGAAGCAGCGGCCAGGTCTGACCAGCAACAGCAGGAAGGTGTGGCCACCAACATGCACAAGCCAGTTTAGAAGCTAGAAGGTCCAGATGTCAGCCGCTGTAGCCAACAGTGACCTCAAGAGACACTACAGGTCACAACCACCTCTCATGCTAAGCCTGGGATCCCAACCCATAGAAACCAACAGTTAATACGTGTTTGTTGTCTTCAGCTGCTAAGTTCTGGGGAGTTCATCTGCCAGGTATAAAGTAACAGCTATGTCACTCTGTCCCCAATATGTGACAAGCAAAACTATCTCAATTCAATTTAATGGGACTAAAAAACATTACAGAGATGAAAAAATAATCTAAATATAGTGTGCAAAATTTTCTTTGCACATGAAAGAAACAAAAAAAGTCAGGAACACAGTAATAAATAGACAACTAAAAAATAATTTACTATATTTGAAGGTATAATCAAAACAATAAATTTGTGTTTTATCAAAGGCAAAGAGCATCATACCTACATGGCCTAAGTCAGCTGACAGTCATGAAAGCGGCCTCAGGATTAAGGGGAAAGTCTCCAATGTGCAAGAAATCCAATTTTTGACAGAGAGATTTTAATTACATCATACATAATTGTCTAAAAGAAATACCTCAAATGTCAGTTTGTTTTTTTCTTTATCTCCAAAAGGAAAGGGCTGATTTACAACTTCTTTCAAGTATTCTTCAACAAATTCCATTGTCAGTGCAAATTTCCTCTTCATATCATTTCTAGAAGAATCAGTTATAGAATCATATCTGGGAAAGACAGAAGACAAAGCAACTTAAACAGAGTGTAACCCTTTAAAGAGAAGAAAACACACCAGCAATGTTCAGAAAACTCATGGAAAACACATGCTATGAAAAACACTCTGCATGGATTTCAAAGTTTGTCACACCAAACATTTCAAAGTACCTTTGTACATGTTTGAACTTCTGGCTTCCTAGTCTTGGATAAATTGGCCACCCAGATATTGTGGTCTCATTTATATGACAGACACTATTTGTGGAATGAGTTACTCTGAGGGTACTTAACACAGACTGTGAAAAAACTTGGAATCTATCCTCAATGCTTTCATGATACACACTAACCACAAACTTACCGAAACTCCAACAATGCAAGCATTTGGCTTGCCTCGTTTGAGATGCAGAGACATGGAGACAGGCAGCCACTCAGGGAGAGAGCAGCTGTTGGCTGTTCCACTCACCAGAAGCCCAAAACGGCTCCCAGCAGGGCTGAAGCCAAAGCTGAAATCCAGCAACTGAATGAGGTCTCCCAACTGGCAGGAACCTAAACCCGTGGGCCCATCATTTGCTGCCCCCCCAGGGTCTGGGCATCGGTTCCAGAGCTGGGTATCAAACCCAGGCATTCTGATACGGAATGTAACATGGCAAGCCCAGGTCTAAATGCCTGCCCTAGGCAAACCTTTAACTCAGTCTGTTAGTAAGCACTTCACAAATTGTTACTTGCATTTTTAATAGTATTTCTGTTTGTTAACTTCCAGGGAGATGCTTCTATTATCACAAAAAAATTATCATTTTATCTTCAAAAAGGAGCATCTTAATTGCATTTAGGAAGATGAACGACCTTAAAACACACAAATCCCTTTCCATGTATTTCATTTCAAAATTAAAGACACCAGATTGTGAGTTCATCTGCTGAATTTAAATATGGAGAGAAAGTTGCCTTCACATACTCATGAATTGTGATCTTGGTGGGGATTTCTGTCCAGAGCCTGGCATAGCGGACAGGCACCACAGACTCCTGCGGGTCCCGGTCCACGTGCATATGCAGCATGAGGCGGCAGAAGGAGGCGCGAAGGTCGAAGGGCAGGCTCTCGTCCGACATACAGCGCAGGATCAAGTCTACAGAGAGCTGCGTGGAGATCTGGTTGATGGCCAGATACTGGCGGTCTAAACACATCCTGGCGAAGAGGTTCAGCTGGTACCTGGGAAACATGGAGCGAACTGCAATCATTTGTCTTATCTCAGTGGAGTTCTTAAACATCACAGCACCAGTCACTTATGACATCCAATGACACTCCTATTTCCAAGTGTCTGTTGGTAGTAAGTTAAACGATTAATCTGCAATATACACATGAAGCTGTCTCTACTTCTTTTCAGTTACAATTTCTCTTGCTTTTTCCAGTAATGTGAGTCTGCTGGATATGTCTGCTGGGGAGTGTCACCAAAGTACACTACACCTGAGCACAGGTCGTGGACAAACAGCTCATAAGCAATCACCTCTGTATGCTTTCCCCAGCCCCACTGAGCTGGCAGCTCTGGGCATGCACAATCTAATTTTTTTTAAAGTTCCTATTTATGTTTGTCTGAAAGGCAGAAAGATGGAGGGAGGGCTGGAGAAAGGGGGAGAGAGAGACAGAGAGACAGAGAGAGAGAGAGAGAGAGTCACTCATCCACTAGTTCACTTCCCAGATGCCTATTATATAATACCCATGGTTGGACCAGCCCAAAGCCAATAGCCTAAAACTCAAACTGGATCTACCACATGGGTGAAAGGGGCTCATTCTGCACTTTAAATGTAGCTGGACACTCCAATGTATGATACCCTAAGTGTAGATGGGACCTCTATGCATTACTGAAGGCTCTAGTATCCATACTCAAAGTGTGGAGAGGAGTCAAGACTCTACCCTTTGCTTATCCCTACTCAATTTCTAAGTCAAGCATGATCAGCTTAAATGGCATCTGTACATTGGGATCTTACAACCACGAGACTAAGACCACTGAATTTGCACTGTGGAAGAAGTCAGGGTACACGGGGCACTCTCTGCCCTCCTCTTGAGTGCTATTCAAAATCCGGGAAGCCAGGAAATTTCAAGTGGTATATTTAGAAAACACAGACATTAGCTTTCATTGTCAATGTCTTAAATAGCACTAAATGTTTCAGATAACCTAGTCCTCACATCACTTTTTAAAATTTCCTCTTCACAGGCAGGTACTAGGCACTACAGTTAAGAAGACAATTAGAACACCTGAATCCCACATTGGAACGCCTGGGTTCAAGTTCTGGCTGTACTCCCAGTTCCACCTTTCTGCTGATTCCCATCTGGGAAGTCAGCAGGTGACAGCTCAAGTACACTGCCAATCCTTGCGGGAGACTCAGACTGAGCTCCTGCCTCCCGACATCAGCCTGCCCCAGCCACGGCTGTTGAAGGCGCAGGAAGGAACAAGCGGATCAGAGATCTCTTGTTCTCACTCACTTTCCTCTTTCTTTCTCTCTGCCTTTCACATAAATAAATACATGTCTGTGATTTCCTCTTCAGTATCACCTAACACTGAGAGGATTCAGGAAGTCCCTCTCCACATACGAAGCTGAGAATCACAATTCCTACAACATCTAACCTGTAATAGGTGAGGACTTCTAAATCAGCCTTGGTGCCTTCTTTGGCTTCCTGAGCAAGGTGCCTGATGGCTTTGCCATGAGGCTCCTTGTTGCTGTCAATCCAGTAGAGCCACACTTCTTCATCGTCCATGTCATCTGGAAGGATGGAGCTCTCCATGGGGTTGTCTACTTGCATAGAGACCAACCTTGAAGCGAAGAACAGAGATGGGAACCCATGAGGCGGTGCACTGACAACCAGGACAAAGCATCAAGGAACTGAATGAGATACTTGCACTGCCCGTGCTTACTTGGTTTGGATGAGAATGTCTGCGTTGCCAGGACTCAGCATAAACTTACAGATGAGTTCCTGGGTCACAGGAATGGCAGTCGTATTAGACACACAGAGATCAGACAAATAATCCAGAAATCTGGTAATAAATAAATAAATAAAAGATGAAGTTGAACACAAAGTCATCACAGCAGAAGAAACTCATCAGCCCCAAGCCTCCTGTCATCCCAGGCAGTGCCTTTCCAATGTGCTGCTGATGGGCTGCACCTCCAGCCACAAGTTCAACATCCGCTTCTTTCTACTGAGTCCAAAGCTAAGCACAAATAATCATGTTTGCTTCTATTGATGTGGTGATATTTATCCCACAGCACTGTGACTTATGTTTAGAAAATCATTTATCTGCTCCTCGTGTGAGACTCCCCAGAACTCAATATCAAAACAGAAGCTAAAGTACAGAACGAAACAGGATCACAGCATCATCTAGACACAAGCAAGCATATGCTTCTCAAGTCAGAGACCCAGCTCCACCCCGTAGCTGCAGTTGCTGTCCCAGTCAATGAAGAAAAAACTGTCAATGTGTTGGACATTTCCACACTTGCTTTTCCCAGACAGAGTACTTGGTGAAATGTTCACTGAGAAAATGCATAGAGATTTAAATGATACAATACATAGGAATAAATTTCCCAAAATCCCATAGGGTATTTTAAAAGTTGTAACTGGTCAGAGTGAAGATCCATTACCCTGACATATAAGTCTACCCAGGGCTTAGACCTGCTACCACATAATAACTTTAGCCTATGTAATTGTTACAGCATGAAGCCCAACACAGATTGTCCCGAAAGTCAACAACAGGAAAGAATTCTAACTTTTCAAAGTTCTAAAGATGAGACAGAAATCTCAGCCCCTGCTAAGAACAGAAGCTGCACCACTTCAAACCTTGGCTCTCGGTTCCTCCTGAGTAAACTGACAAATGTTTCTATTTCTTTGGCTGTGATGTGTTTCTCGAGAAGTTTTCTGTTGTTGTGCAACAAAGCTGTGATCGTGTCTTCTGCCAGAATATCATAGCCAATCTGGGACTGCATGACACAGAAATTCTTAGCAATGTACTCCTGCAAAGGAGAAAAGCCTCCAGTTAGAGCGTGCTGCCACACGGCTCACCAGGAACAGCTTCCAGGAATGGCAGCCCTGAGTAATTTATTCATAGCAGAAAACCCACTGGGGAAAAAAAATCATCAAATGAACAAGTAAACCATTTTTCAATAAACAAAATTTTGAAAGAAAAAAATGAAAACGTATTAGCAAAGAAATAAGTTAAACTGTAACAAAAATATAGGCTTGTAACACCTTTAACATGGGATAATTTAATTCTCATAAATGAGAAAAACAAAAAAGCATTTTATTTGAAGTAGAAGACTTTTTTGAAGGATGGAGTAATGCCATCTACTATTTCACTCTCCAGAAATCTTCAGTGGCCAGGACCAGGCCAGAGGGAGGAACACACGCAGGCTTTCAGCATAATGACAGGGATCCAGTCACTTGTGCCATCCTTGCTGTCCAGCAAAATAGGACACCGACAGCATCACAGGTGTCCTACACAGCAACATCACCAGCATTCTAGCTCTAAGGCAATGCTCAAACAAATCACAAGTTATTACATCATTAGGATTTTGCAAACCTAGGAGAGGCCATTCTTTTAGCTCTCACTACAAGTCAACACCAAGGGTTTTACATAAATACTGAAATGGAAAGAACACCATGATACTTCTTGCATGAGGCACCAGTTCTAATTCCACTGAAGCACAAATTTCAAGGGGAAAGGGTGAATTTATTTTTTTGTACTCTGTAAATATCCTCTCTTAAAAATAATCATAAAATTTCTTACACTTTTTATGTGGCCTAGCAGATAAGACATCCACACCCCATAACACAGTACCCGAGTTTCAAATCTACCTCCGGCTCCCAAGCCTAGCTTCCTGCTAATGCAGACCCCAAGAGACAGCAGAGTTGGTTCAAATAACTAGGCTCCTGCCCTTGATGCAGGAGGCCTGAGATCAATGCCCAGCTCCCAGTCCTACTCACTGCAGGCATTTGGGAGACAGAACTAGCAAACAGAAATGCACTCTCTCTTTGTCTCTCAAAAAAACAAATACTTTCAAAGATACCAAACAGAAAAATATAATCACTTTGACCCAGTAAATATTTCTGGAAGGATATGGCAATCAACAACACAAACTCTCTGAGCTTACATGCTGCTGAGATAAAAGGCAGTAAACAAACAGAACCATGTCACATTTTGATAAGTGAAGAGAAATCAAGGGTTGGCAGCTGTAGACAGAGTTGATGCAGAAGAGGTGACATGTGAGCCAACATGGAAAGAATGACAAGGAGGCAGCCATGGGAGGACCTGGAGAGAAGCCACTTGGACCATGGGAACAGCCAGGGCAGATGCCCTGTGACAGGGAGCTGTCAACAAAAGGTGAACAGCACAGCTGCAGTCTGCAAAGTCAGATTAAAGAGTTAGGTGCTGAAGAGTTGGGTCAAAAGAAACCTGGACATGGGTAACAATGTCACTCAGAGTGACAGAAAGCTACTGACTGGGGAGTTTCATTCCTTCAGGTGTAACATGCTCTTCCTGCTGCCCATCGCTCTCCCATATTCCAAGCCATGACCTCCCATATTCCAGGCCCCACCTCTGCGGACAAAGGACACACCTCACACAACCAGAGAACTGGTCAACTTAACTCCTTTCACAACCCAAAGCTCTGTCTTTGATTTCTTGGAGATTCTCCCTGGAAATTTTTTGTTTCTGTAATGGGAGGATGTATTGATTAGAAAGTGGCTGCATCTTGGATAAAATTTACTGGAATGAATCTATTCTTTGAAAAACAATGTTGGCTGCACAAATCTAATTACTTTGCAGGCAAAATTTTTGTGGTCTTTCAAAATGGTAGTTTTGTGCATTGGGTGGCCAGTTAAGTAAAGTAATTATCTTCTGATGGCATATAATTTTAAATATATGTATTGATTTACACGCTTTTATGACTTTCACAGTCATATTGCGGTATAAGGCAAACACCCAAGATGCTGATAAGTAACCAAATGAAATTAGAGGTGTAGCCAAATTCTATAAATAACAATAAACAGAGACTCAATAATAAAAAAAAAAACAAAGATCTGGGTTAGTCCTAAATCACAAATGAATTCAACATCAGGACTATAAAATGTGAAAATAAAGCCATGTGATTATGCAAAAAATGTTAAAAGTCACACTGCCGACATTTTAAAATCATGTTCTAAAAATACCGGGGGGGGGGGGGGGGCGTTGAGGCAGTACCGTGGCATAGCAAGGTAATCTGCTTGCAGTCCCAGCATCCCATTTTGGTGCTGATTCAACTCCTGGCTGCTTCACTTCCAATCCAGCCTCCCAACCAGGGAAGGTGGTGGAGGATACTACAAATTCTTGGGCCCCTGCACCCACAACGAGACTCATAAGAAGCTCTTGACTCCTTGCTTTGGATCGACTCAACTCTGGCTTTGTGGCCATTTGGGGAATGAACCAGTGGATAGAAGTTTTTTATCTCTCCCTCTCTCTCTCCCCCATCCACCTGCGCTCCCCTCCCTCCTTCCTATCTGCTCTCCCATCCTCCTTTTTGCCCTCCCTCTCCTACCCTGTCTCATTCTTTCACCTCTCTATAGATTTGCCCTTTAAATAAACAGAACTTTTTTTAAAAATCAGAAGGGTACTTATGCTTAATACAAGTCATTCTTAATTCAACAGAAATGAGTACAATTTTTCAGCTATCAATGCTATTTCATTAAAGTAAAGGAGAAACGGAGGGCAGCACTTGCTGGGCTCTTCATTTCCTGGTCAGCTCAACATTCTAACTCTAGCTCTAGGCAGAAAGGTGTAGCTCACCCATGGCCACACAATGGCCACCCCTTGGTGCTCATAGGGAATTGGCTGCTAGACCCCACAGACACCAAAATGTAAGTATACTCTACTCCCTCATATTAAACCACATGATATTTTCATGTAACCTACACATATCTTCCCATATATTTAAATCATATTTAGATGACATATAACACCAAACACAATGTAAATGTTATATAAATACAGCATCACTTGACAAATAAAATCAAGAGAAAAAACAGACACACTCAGTACAAACACAATTATTTTTCCAAAGGGGCAGCACTGTGATGCAGTGGGTTAGCCGCTGCTTGTTACACTAGAATTCCATAAAAGACCACTACCTGTGTCCCAGTTACTCTGCTTCTGATCCAGATCCCTGGTAATGTGCCCAGCAAAAAGCAGAGACTAGCCCAAGTTCTTGGGCCTCCACTATCCAGGTGTGAGGTCAGGATGGAGTTTCTGGCTTTTTGTTTCAGCCCTATCTAGCGACCAGCTGCTGCAGGTAGGTGGGGAGTGAACCAGTGAATGGAAGATCTTGCTGTGTCCCAACCCATCTCCTCCCTTCCCTGTTACTCTTCCTTTCAAACAAATAAATCATTAAAACAATTATTCTTCAGATATCGTCAATGCAGCACTGGAACAGTGCCTGCTGCAAGCATCTGGCCCGGCTTCCCCAGCCAGCAACGGACCTCCCTCTCATGAATTCCCACCCTGCGGTCTTTTTGCTCATGTCCCCTCTTTGCCTCTTCCAATGTTGCAAATGCAATGTCATTTTTTTCACCCACTACAAAATAAATTCTTGGGCCCATACTTGGCAATGCTGTACCTTGCAAATCTCTCAAGCCAAGAAATTCTTTATTCCTCTTGACAAAGGAAGTCCAGGACACTTCCTGCCTGGCAGCACATAATACCATGCACGTATAAGGACTCATAACATTCTCCCCACAGAAGTTTTTAATTTTATGTGGAAGAAGGAATACCCAGGACAGCTCCAAAATACTCAGAGCATTTGTGTATACTGCCAATACAAAACATTTTATTCCAAAGACAAAGTTCTCGTCCCAGCTTTCTCTGCTTCCAAATGGTAATCAAAGAATCTTGCTGTACTTGAAAGCTGCGATAGAGGTGAGAACGCCCCCCTCTCCCACACTTACCTGGTTCTTCCGGTAGTCCTGCTGAGAGTGCCGGAGTATGCGGTAACACAGCCGCAGCATGTACTTGTAGGGCGCATATCGCTGGTCCCCGAGATCTTCCAGTCTCAGCATAGAGCCTTCTCCTGCTTTCTCCTTGAAGGGTGCTTTAAGGATTCCAAAAACCTACCAAGAATAAAAGCAATCACCTGCTCTGTGCATGGTTTAGCAACCTATTCTAAATTTTTTTACAATTAAGAAAATTGATTCAAAACCTTATTGCAACAGTTATTGCAATATTTCATGGGAAGGACTTGGAATACAGGACTAGCAGATCAAAGAACAGAAAATCCAGCTGAAAGGTTCCTTAAGCTGAATGAACAATACATTATTTAAAAGAACTGATTGATTTTGCTTGGACTTAACATTTTATTATCATTAGAAACAACAGCCGTTCAGTTATGCCAAGCTACATGAACACCTTCAGATGAATTAAAAATATAGCTTGGTTTCTATAAGCTTTGCCAATTTTTCTATTATTTTTTAACTCTCCAAAATCAAGATAAAACATCAGAAAACTACCCTTAAATATGTCTTATCAATCTCTATGTGACAAAGTTCATACATTGTACTTGCTACACAAAGATGCGGTTGAAACGGCGAATGTGTTAGCAATTGCATCTGACAAGTAAACTACACGGGCAGCTGGTGTATCCAGTTGGCCAGACTGCTGTGGGAAAGTCAGCGGTTAGGAGGTGTCTTAGAGGCACTGAGGACTGTAACATGCTATGGTAAAAAGACAGCAGCTGGGATCACCTGGAGATGAGCTGGCAGGATGATGAAGCTGTCTAAAGAGCCCCATATGCAGGGTATGAACACTGACACATGAAAGCCACCTGCAGAGCAATGACCCCTCAGAGGTCAAGAAATGTGATACTAATTACACTTTCTTCAATGATTTTCTGTCTGCTAAACCTCACATTTGTAATACTGAAAAACAATATTCAAAATATTTGCCAAAAATAGCATTAACAACTCAACCATCCGAGTCCCTAAAAGCCTTGAAATTAAATGTTTTGTGTGAAAGAATTGCTACCATCATGACATTTCCAACCTTTATTTTTAAAAACAGTTATTTTGAATTTCCAACCACGTTCAGTTATTAATGAACAGTGTGCTCATTCCTTGCCTTTCTCAACAAGAACATGATTTTTTGTATGTTTTAAGTTGCATCTTTGGTCTATAACTGATATAAAAGTTCACTATTTAGATAGCAAATAACAAAACATAAAGCACACTTAGACATGAGCACATATGTATGCTATTGGGAACTGAGTCAATTTACTGGTGTGGTATGACAAATTTCAAGCAAACAGTATACAAGAGCAGTTGTATGCTTTCGGTGAAAAAAAAACCGAGAATACTGTGTGGCACCCTCAAGGAGTTGGCTTTCCCAGGAAGGCAAGAGCAGGAAGCAGTGGAGAGGACAGTTTCAGAAATGCTTGCAGCAGTTTCTGAATACATATGGTCTGTAGGGCTTATTTTGGGGGAGAGGGGGTGAAGAAAACAGGGGGTAGGGAGCAGGGTAGACTACTCCTAAGATTTGCCCCAATGGTACCAGCTGCCTGAAAGCCACAACCTATGAGACCCTCTCTGCGTAAACTGTGGGCTGGGTTTATGAACACCATAGAGTCAGAATATTACTTAGAGACAGAATGTTACTTCCCAGAGTAGGTTTAAAAACACTGTGGCTTCCATCTGGGTGTCCTTTCTTGCTCTTTCGGGGACTCTCACTTCAAAGGCCAGCAAGCTGCCTTGCCTTGAGGTTAACCCTGTGGGTGAGCTGGGAGGATCTGACTCCCAGGCTCCCAGTGGAGCCTCCAAGCAGCTGAGGCTCTAGCCAACATTCAACAAGCTGCTCAAAGTCCCTGGGCAAGAACTTGCCAACAGAAGCCACGCGCAGACTCCAAGTCCTCAACAACTGTGACAGAGCAGACGCCTCCTGTCTTCAGCCACTCTTGAAATCGTCTCTTACACGGCAACCGGGCCCTAGTACAGCATCTTTCCTCATCCCATAATGCAAGACATAAAACACACAAGTGGAACATACGAATCAAGCTCACCTGTGCCAGTATGTTCTGCTCCCTCATTAACTTCTGCCGTTCTCGGTTTGGCTTCGTGATGATCACATCCAGAACTTCCTGCCCGTTGTTAGGCACGTCCGCAACAAAGAAGATGAGGTCTTCCAATAACTTGGTGACAAACCTATCATCATGTGAAAAGGAAACGTGACTCTATGGTGTGCTTCGCTTAGGAATTTTTTTTTCCATTAAAGCTAAGAACCAAACATTAGAGAAACTTAAACAGTCCTCCTCCAGTTCCTCCAACTCTAACGTTTACGTCTAATCGAGTATTTGCAAACCTGGTAGGAAACAGAGCCACGCCAGCCCTGACCACAAATGAGTGGGTAAGGTACCACTACCAGGTGCTTTCCTACCGCCAATTGGTGCAGCAGGGACCAGTCAGCACACCATTTGTGCTTAAGGGAACTCAGCCATACATCTCCTAACTATTAACTCAAGTCACATTTCCTTTTTCTTTTTTTTTTCAAACTACATCTTGTAATCCTTAGCATGTTTCAATTTATTCAACACACAAGATAGGAGGAACACAGATGATCTGTCAATAGAGACAAAGCAAACAATCCAATGTTCCAGACGACTAGGAATGTGTTAACTGGAAAACAGTGTGGTACAGCACATAAAGCCACCGCCTACAATGCCAACATCACATTAAGGGCATTGGTTACTTGAGTTCTAGCTGCTCCACTTCCAATCCAGTCCTCTAGTAATACACTTGGGAAAGTAATAGAAAACGGCCCAAGTATTAGGGCTTCTGCACTCATAAAGAAGGACCAGATAAACTTCCTGGCTGCTACCTTTGGCCAGGCCCAGTCCTAACCACTGTGACCATTTTGAAAGTGAAAACAGATAGAAAATTACTTTGTCTCTCCCTCTTCTTGCCTTTTGCTCTCTTTTCAAAATAACTTTTTAAAGAAAAAAGTATTAACTGGCCTTTAAAATCCCTAGTATTGGCCTCAGCACGATAGCCTAGTGGCTAATTCCTTGCCTTGCACGTACCAGGTTCCCATATGGGCGCTGGTTAATGTCCTGGCTGCTCCACTTCCCATTCAGCTCCCTGCTTGTGGCCTGGGAAGGCAGTAGAAGATGACCCAAAGCCTTGGGAACCTGCACCCAAATGGGAGATTTAGAAGAAGCTCCTGGCTCCTGGTTTCAGATCGGCTCAGCTTCAGCGCAACTCCAGCTGGTTGTGGCCACTTGGGGGGTGAACCAGCAGACAAAAATACCCTCCTCTCTGCCTCTTCTCTATAAACGTCAGACATACCAATAAGAATAAATAAATCTTTTTAAAAATGGTATTCTAAAACCATGTATTCACATTCTTTTTTTAAATTTATTTTCATTGGAAAGGCAGATTTTTAGAGAGGAGGAGAGACAAAATTATATTCCATAATCCATCTGCTGGTTCACTCTCCAGGTTACCACAACAGCCAGAGCTGAGCTAGAGCTGCACAATCTGAAGCCAGGAGCCAAAAGCTTCTTCTAGATCGCTTATATGGGTGAAGGGTCCCAAGGCTTTGAGCCACCCCCTACTGCTTTCCTGGGCCACAAGCAGAGCTGGAAGGGAAGCGGAGTACCCAGGACACGAACCCAGGCCTATATCGGATCCCACAGCTTGCAAGGTGAGACTTTAGCCACAAGGCCATTGAGCCAGGGTCTCATGTTCAATTTTAACTCTTTATTATTATAACTATCACTTGAACTTCAGAAGCATTTAGTATGTCAATTGTCTATAAACCTTTTACTTTATTCATTTTTTCCTTCCTCCTTCTGCCTGACCTTTATGATTTTCTACTTGTATTTGTAGATTGAGCAAAGGTACAGGGGTTCAATTCACTACAAAAGCCAATAAACTGATTAAATATCTGTATTGGAAAGTCTACCAAATTTTCTTCATTATTATTAAGGTAAAGAACAACTTGTGAATCATTCAACAAACATGACTTTTTTAGTAATAAGGAAAAAATTAGCTTTTTTCATGCTGCTAAGCATCTCACCCACGGTCACTAGCACGCACAATCATGAACGCATCAATGATTACAATGTTAGAGCTTCAACCACTCCAGAAAAACCACAGAATATATCGAGTTAGAGAGATCTTAAGAGCGACGTCATAAAAGAGAATGCACTTTCACGGAGCTGAGGGACAGACCATCATCCAGAATGTATCCACGCACGTGGGAATGTCAGCACTCTTTCTGGAAGCACAACCGTCATCCCAAAAGTCCAGGATGTTTTCTACATGTTTTTGGTATATTTACCTTAAATTTCACCCAAACGTTTGGAAAATCTATCTAGCAGTATTCACTGACATTCTTAATTTTCAATCTCTAAAACTAACCCCAGACAAGTAGGAAATAAGGCAAGGGTACCAAAAAGTGGTGAGAACTTGAGAACTTCTCTTGACATTGTGACTGAAATCTCCCACATCGTTCTGCTGGGCTTTACAGCAAATCACCAAATAAATGTGAGCTCAGGCTACTTCAGCCAATGGAAATCAAGTTAACCTTCAGTTGCTATCTGCTCAACCCAAACCCAATGGAACAACAGATTTTGTACTTTCTGCTAAGAAGTTAATAACACTCTTCTTTTGCTGCTTCAAGTACATTGATATCAAAACTTTAAACATACAGAACAGCACAATTTTGTGGACAATTACAGATTACCCTGCTTTAAAGTCTTCCAAATGCCCTGGGTCTCTTGCGGCATCCAGCCTCTGATGGTGAGCAGTTGGGACCAAGAACTCTGAACTTCTGACACTATTAACATTGGTTTTCTTTTTTTTTTTGCCCTTTCACCTCAAACATTCCATCTCAGGCAAGAATAAAAGCTAGTCTATAGTTAGTTTAGACCCAAGTCCACTGCTATACAAAATAGTAATTATGTCTTGCTAACCCAAGCCATCAGTTAACTTGGCTTAAAAAGATTTTTTTTCATGTGACGCAAGCCCAGCAGTGATAATAAAAACAAACATGCATTTTTAAGATACTACACACCTAAAAACTTAATATGAAGCTTTGTGGATAAGGAACAAAATAAGATGAATACGTGAAAATCAAGTTTAAATTAGACTCCTACAAGGCAAAAGGAACTGAAAACAATGTGATAAGGACTAAACAAAAGATAGAGAGGCAGGAGCTGAAGTGGAACTTGTTTACCAGTTCAAGAAACTGAAATATTAACTGTCCCTGTTCACATTCCGGCTGTGCATAGATGGGATGGAATACAGGAAGTGCATACACAGGATCAACTTAGCCACCTGCATTTTTAGTGACTAAAACGCATGAACTCTCAGTCCCCAGAGTCGGATCTGATCCTGCACTAGCTGAGGAGTCCAGGTAGTCTAGTAGCACCCAAAAATTGGCACAAAACATCATTTGGCATTCAAAGAGGAAAAACAAAAATCTCCCAATTGAGAAGAACCTGAATTTTAAATTCCATAGCATATGAAGAAGACTGATATTCAGCCAGCCAGGAGTAGGTATTTAGTGTAGCATGAGCATCACACACAGGATTACCTAAGTTCAAGCCTGAGCTACAGACTTCACAATTGGCTTTGGGCTGATGCAGACGCTGGAAAGCAGCAGTAATGCCTCAACAGTTGCACCCTTACCACTCCCAAGGGTTCCTGGATTGAGTTCCCAGCTCCTGGCTCTGGCCCGAGCCCAGTCCAGCCAACCAGTGTGGGTATTTGAGCCACTGCTGCTGGGAGTCAGTCTCTCTCTCTCTCTCTCTCTCTCATAAATTTGTTTTTCTTAAGGAAGACAGTAAAAAGAAAAAGCAATGGACTAATTCCTCACCAGAATAACCTAAGTAACAACTTAATTTCAAGAGAATTTTTAAATGAGTTGGTCTCAATCTTCCAAGAAATAAAACAACTATATATAAAACTGCATACAGAAATATGAACATACATTTAAAAAAACAGATATGAATGACTATGCAAAAGACATCTGAGAAATACAATGCATAATCATTTCAATAAAAGTCTTCATTGATAAAGGTAAACTATTTTGCACACATTCTAAGGAAAAAAATCATGACTTACAAGACAGTCTCAAAAATTTGACAGCAATAGGGCACAGACTTTAAAAGATATAAAAACAAGAGGTAAGGAGAAGAGATCCTCTATACTTTAAATAGGAATTCCAACACAGAGAAAAGACAAAACAGCAGCATTTGAAGGAAAGGGGCTAAAAACTTTCCACAATTGAGAGAAAAATCTAAGCATTCACACTAAATAAACCCAAACTGTCAGGTGGAACACACTAAAACCAGATGCCTCACAACCGTAACACAAATGAGATCAGGATACTAACATCAAAGGAATTTATATCTGGGTACAAAAGTACCCAAAAGTAAAGTTACCAATAAAAAGATTTCTAAAAAATAATGAGATGTCAGAAAACAAATATCTGTCATCTAATGCTGCATACATAAAGCATCACTGTAGAGTGCAGGTAAAAATTTCTTTAAATGGTCATCCATGTGAAAATGCAAAAGATTATGACAAACAGACCTTAACTAACTGGACTATAGAAAGGATTTCTGCATGGAGAAACGTAATCCCAGAGGAAAGATGTCAGGAGCAAAAAGTAAAGACAAGCACAGGCAGAGGTAGACCCACAGGAAGTGCAATTCATCACTGCCCAACAACTCGTGTAGACAACATCTCTCAGAGGGAAGAGGCGTCCATAATTCCTACGAATATATATTAACATGTTTGCAAAGAATGAGAACAAACACTTCAAAAGGCTACAGCTCCAAATGTGGATGCTAAGAAAGATGAGGGCCTGGTCAGCACGTAACAAAAACATTCAGAAGCACTCGCCTCCCATGGGAGAAAGAGACACGAATAATTCTAGGTTTTACAAGAAACATAAGAGGGTTTGTCAAAAATTTTCATGGAGAGCAGATACTGATCTTCATGGTTAAGACCCCTGTGTCCCACACGGAAGTACCTGGGCCGGCTTGCCAGCTCCAGCTTCCAGCTGCTGCGGTCTCTGGGAGGGGACAAGTGGTGGTTCAGGTGACAGTGCCTGCCACCCACGTGGGAGGCCTAGACCGAGTTCCCAGTAGGCACCTGGAGAGCGAAGCAACAGATTCTCTCTCCCTCCCTCTCAAATGCATACATGTTTTTCAAAGTTCATGAGTCAGGCTTAGGCATTGATTTCTCAAAACACACTCCACGAAGGAGAGCTGCAAGGCCCCATGCACAGCATGCATCAAGTGCCTGATAATCAGGAATGAATGGTGTCCCCCAATGTGGGCAGGTGCTAAGGAACCCCCAGCTACCTGCCCACTCTCAGAGGTGAAATAAGGTGCTGGAATCCTGGCTAATTACTGCATGTGTCACTTCCTCCAGCCCTGAAGACCAGCTCACACACTCCGCTCTCCCTTTATGCTTCACCACGACATGCTCTCAGCACTCTCTACATTGGTGCAATTACAGAATAAAAGTAGAAAAACACCACTGGAGGGCAAAAAAATCCTAAGGCTGAGGGTCACAGAGGCACCACCTGAATCCACTCTTGGGGCAAGAGAAGGAGGATCAGGGGAGACAGGGGAACATTCAGACTCCGCCAGCACTGGAGACAGTTCCTGCAGTCTCCAACCCTCCTCCTGACATTGCATCATTCCTCTGGTTTTGAGTAGAAAAAAGAATATCTAGCAAGAACTGTAGTCTCCATGGGGAGGGAAAAAAATAATCACGGTTGTCAGTTACTTTCAGATGGAATTTTATATCGAATTCTAAGTGTGAAAATAATATAAATGCACTCAACTATGCCAATAAGCTCAACTGCCCCGGCAGGCAGGTTCGAACGAAATCTGATGGGAGGTGATCTTTCTGAAATTACTAAATTAAGATCAAGGATTGCAACCTCATATTTCCGAGGCAAAGCCTTCTCTTTGCAATGATGCTTTGCACTGGGAAACAGCGGGGCAAGAGGCAGGGGAAATAAAAACGCAAGCTCTCTCAGGCAGGGGCCAGCGCCGTAGGCTGCCTTGAGAGCTGCAGATTACCTGTAGCTGCAGAGCAGTGCTGCTACCTGCCTGGGCTTCTTCCTTCCACCTGAGGCTTCGCTCAGCCCTCAAAAGGGCTCCACAGGGGGATGCCGAGTGCGCTGCTGTACTTACTGCTGTACAGAAAAAGGAACTCACCAAGATGCATTAACAGACTTAAGGGGGAAAAAAAAAAGCACTCCTTCCTGCACGTCAGAATGTACTTCGTGTTGCGATTTGGCCCTGCAGGGCCAGTATCTGTACATCAGGGAAGTGGGGCAGCTGTTGCAGCTTCGGAGTTCTATTCATTTCTCCCAACAAGGCTGGAGGGATGAGAGAACACACAGCAGCCACGTGTGTGCAGGTTTGCCAGGGATAAAACAGGACATAAGGACAAAAACAAAGGTGAGAAGCAGCTACTCCATTTGGTCATGCATCTCTGTGTGTATTCTGTTTTTGTTTTGCTTTGTCTTTTAATCAATAGTGGTCCAGGGAAGCAAGGTAGAATTTCTGTTTCTTTGTATTATGACACATATCTAACCATTTTTTTAAAAAAGATTTATTTTTATTGCAAAGTCAGATAGAGAGGAGGAGAGACAGAGAAGAAGCTCTTTCATTCAATGATTCACTCCGCAAGCGGCCACAACAACTGGAGCTGAACCAATCAGAAATTAGGAGCCAGGAACCTCTCCCAGGTCTCCCATGCACATACAGGGTCCCAAGGCATTTCCCCAGGTCACAAGCAGGGAGCTGGATGGGAAGTGGAGCCACCAGGGTTAGAACTGGTGCCCATATGGGATCCTGGTGCATGCAAGGTGAGGTCATTGGCCATTAGGTTACTGTGCCAAGCCATATCCACCATGTGCTGAATGTGTGTGTATGTGTGTGTGTGAATTTTAAAAATTGATGGAAAATGGAATTACTAGGTAAGCCTATTTTGGTGCAAAATAATTTTGAAAACCATGCTTACAGAGGAATCATTAAAAAGTGCATAGAAAATGTGCACCATAGGAAAAAAAAACCCAGATTTCAAAATAATTTCTATACTAATATCTTTCAATTCCATTTTCCACATGCCTTTTAAAAATGCGGATTCACTTATTATTATTTACCTGAAAGGAAGAGTAACCGAAAGAGAGGGAGAGATAGACATCTTCCACCCACTGGTTAGCTCCTGCAATGGCCATGTCTGGTTCAGAACGCCATCTGGATGCCCAAAGTGGTTTGCAGTGGCCCCCTACTTGGGTGACCCTCCACCGCCTTCCCTGACACCCGAGCAAAGAGGTAAACCACAACGGATTAGCCAGGATTTGAATCAGTGCTTTCACATAAGATGCCATCACAGGCGGTGGCTTAACCCACAATGCTACAACACCAACTTCTTCCATGAGTTTTTGAAGCAAACTCAGGTAAGCTTCACTACCAAACTTGGAAAAAGTGCATCCCACGAGCTATGGCAACAACAGGAAACACAACATAAGAATGCATCAAGCCCTTCACCAATCCAAAGTCCAACCCTAGCATCTTAGAGGAAACATCACTTGGATTTGTGTGACAATGGTTTCCTTGCATTGCTTTGCAGTTCTTCCAAATGCTTAAATATGCCCCAAAAAGCTTATTGCTGCTTGGTTTTGAACTTTACTGGTAATAATATAGCAAGCATACTTCTTAAGCACTGTTATCAGTTGGTCTAATTTTTTTTAATATTTATTATAATCTTTAAATGTAAAAGGGTACCCACAGCTGGAACCTGTGGCTCAGTCCCTTCATGTTCCTTTACGTGAAATACAAATGCCTGTCGTGGGGCTAACTGAAGGATTAGGTGAAACACACCAACAGTGCCTCTCACAGCACCTGACACCAGGTTGGATGCCGTCACTGCTATCATTCAGTATCACTCTCATTCTCACATCCAGAAGCAAAGCTTAAGAACCAAATTTTGAGTGTCGCAGAAAGACTTGTCAGGGCAAAGAGCCCCATTCAGATTCTTTTCTGGAATTTCGTGTATGATTGCTTTGTGAAACTAGAGAGGAGAAATGAGTCTAGAATAAGCCGTATAGGAAAGCATAAAACTTCTTAAGGACTCTTAGAACTCTACAACCAAATTCCAAATCAGGTGCAACAGAGGGCATTAAGAGAAGGAAAGACCATTTTGAGCCAACCAAAAAAATAGGGAAAATGAAATATTCCACTGGATTTTATTTTTTTTACTTATTTTTATTTGTCTTAAGATTTATGTATTTGAAAATGAAGGTGACAGGAGGCACACACACATACAGAGACAGAGAAATCTTCTAGCCATTGTTTTATTTTTCAAATTGCCCCCAGGAGCTGCGACTAGCACAGCTGAAGCCAGGAGCCCAGAATTCCATCTAAATATTCCACACGGGAGGCAGGGCCCCGGACACTTAGGCCATCTTCCTCTGACTTCTGGGGTGCGTTACCAGAGAGCCAGGGCAGAAGCAGAGCATCTAGAGTTTGAACTGGCGCTCTAATATGGGTGACTGACATTGCAGGTGGCAGTTCAGTTCACAGTATCACAACATGGGCCCCCTAATTTTATTTATTAAATGTACATTTCTGTATACATGTATATACGTGTACATTTAAATGAAAATATATATGAATTCATATGTTGGATATACAAAGTGCTGCAGTAATGAACTGTGCATATTGAAAACATGGTCTAGGATACATGTTCAGCCGAAACAATTACTATGTTGGAACAAATTAACATACATTGGATGAATAAGTCCACGCATCCAATGTAAAACCAGGAGACTGTATGGTCAATAATGGTGTGCTAAAATTCTTACTAACTGAATAAATTCTAGCTGTTCTTACCGCAAAGCAGAAAAAAAGCAGTAACTATGGCAGATGAGAGATGTCTTTATTCGCTCCAGTAGATTCTAACTTTACCGTTCTCACTTACCAACAATGAAGAAACAGAAACAACGTCCCGCCTCATCCCAGAGCAGGTATACTGCTAAGAACATTCTAAATACCTCCCCTGAGTCATGCACTCATGTAGGGCTTGTTGCAGGAACTGAGAACTGGCTCAGGACTACTGAGCACTGATATTTACACATCACTGACCTTCTCTCATTCTGCGTGATCGTGCCGGTCTCCAGCTTCTTCACTGTGGTTGCTAACACTTTATTGGCATCATTGGCGAAGTCCAAGTCTCGGACCTCAGACAGTGGGACAGACACGATGGCAAAAGCTTCTTTATCTTCTTTTGTTTGGCAGGTTCCAATCTGAAAGGGATGTTTTCCATTAAGATTAGGTGCGTGTTGATTTTACTCTGTTGGCTCTGCCTTCGGACCGGGGAGGATCTCCCCAAGAAGCTGCTGGACTTGACCAGGCAATGAGATGCTGGACTCTATGCCTGGTGTATGCTTGCAATGAAGGAATCTCAACTAAACTTGAACTGCGGTTACACAACAGCGGGGAGGAGCCCACCATGGGGGGAGGGTTGGGAAAGGGGTAGGGAGAATCCCAAAAAATTTCAAATAAATAAATAAATTTTAAAAAAAGGTTAGGTGTGTGGGGGTCAGTTTTGTAGAGCTTAGCTTGTGAATTTACTGCTTAGTAAACACGCTTTTCAGTAGTTTCATGGGTATACACAGGCTTGTACAATCTTTTCACTTTTCTTCCCTCTTTGGATGTTTTTTCTATTTTTTGCATTTTTATTAACATAAATAGAAGAAATTCTGTGAGTTCCATAGGTACATTTCCAAAAAGTCAATCACGTTTTCTTAAAACAAGCATAAGGATCAGTACATCTCACGAATGACCCGGTAAGACCAGATAATGCAAGCAAAGGATGTCCACGTGTGTCACCCACTAGGGCAGGTGGTAAGGACACAGTGGCTCTCCATGCTCGTTTCGAACCCTGTTCCCACAGCAGCCCTGGAAGTGCCATCCCTTTCACTCTTACCCTTGGTTTCAGATTCACACTTGACCTTAACCTCAATACCCACAGCACTGAGGTGAAAACAACAGCATCCTTAGCAACACTTACCTTCAACATAACAGGCCTCTCTTCATCTGTGTCTATGGGAATACTAGTACTGGTCACCCATGTGTTGGTGCACAGATGCCTTAACCGAACATATGAGTTCCTAAAAGCAAAACATGGAGTACCTGATTATAAAAATTGAATGTACTTACATAATGACTTAATAACAGTTTCATGCCTGAGACAATTGTTAAGTATACATTAGCCTAGGTGCCAGCTCAAGACCTATCTGATTTAAGGGAAAATGCTGAGTTATATACTGTTTCCAAGCATGCAGTATTTAAAAAAAAAATGCAGTATTACCTAGGTCAACCGGGGCTCCTGGACCAGCAAAGGCAGCGTTACCTGCGAATACCTTAGAAAGGCACTGAATCCCCCCATCGCGGAGCACAGATTCACAAATTCAGGATGGAACCCAAGTGGGGAGGTTCAACAGGTTCTCCCGGCAATTGAGACACGGGATCAAGTCAGAGCACCGACAGAAGGACCAACTCAGCTAAAATCGCTCCCTGACACTATCCAGCTTGTACTTTAACTTTCTGAATCTACAGTACCTATAGTCAATCCTCATTATTCATGAGTTCAGGCTTGTCAGTTCTCCTGCTGACTACAGTGTGTTGATATTCCCAAGACCAATTCTCGAGCAACTCCAGTGGTCATCCAAGGACACCCACGAAGTGGGTGAAAAGAGTGGCCCCAGAGGTACGTTTCCAGGCAGAGGCCAAACACAGTGACATGCTGCCTTTCCACTGAGCTTTCCAAATGCAGTAACACCTGTCACCTTGTTTCTCCCATTCGTGTGCATTTTCATGGCAATTGTGATGGTCAGGATGGCCCATAAACATAGCACTGAAGTGCTATCTACTGTTTGCAGACACAAGAAGGTTGTGATGGGTCTTATAGTGAAATTATTTAGGCTAGATAAGCATCTTTCAGGTATAACCCCAAGTTCAATGATAACAAATTAACACTACTTACTAAGGTATCTTCAAACAGAAATGCATAAACCAAGGTAATGTACTGACAGATGGACAGAAATGCCAAGAAACCATGGCTTGCACATCCCCTACAAGCAAGGGGAACCCATGCTTGCTGAATGCAGTTACTGCAGATGCCAAATCTGACCATGCATGAAGTGGGACAAAGTGCTTGAGAAAGGACACAGAGGACTCAACCCAACCGAAACACCAGCGTTTCTGTGAAGCCTTTATTAATGTCATTTCTCTGACAAACGTGTGTAGAATGCCTCTGTCTTTCAAGAGCTCAAGAGTTCAGGATAAAACAATAAATACTCAATGACAACGCTGTACTACATAAGGTGCAAAGCAGCCTGGTCGACAGCAGAAAATTAAACCAAATGCATGGGGTCTAAGGAAAACAATCATTAAACAACATGTCTCCTCTCATCTGTAAAAGGGGATAAGATAGAATCTAAGTCTCTAAACTCTAAAGCAGAAAACGCCCCAATTATCCAAATAGTCAGATCCCAACATGCTTCCACTTGTCCACTTACTGCCTTCCACGCTGAACTGTGCAGGAGGCGCTGTTTGCACACAGATGCCTCCCCACTGCACTGCAGCCATCCAGAAAGCAAAGCCATCACTCACTGGCTCAGTGGCTATTTCTCCTAGTTTACTCATACATTTGTTCAGCACATACTAGTGAGTCAATATATGCTCTTGGGTGCCAAAGCAAACAAATCATGCTCTGGTGTAATAACTGACCAATTGCCAGGATTTGAGAAATGAGCAACTGTTCAGGACACAGGCCACAGAAGTCTGCTGTCGCTCAAACCCTGGTGCGATTTGACTATTGGGATTCTGTAATATTGTAGGGCAGTAGTTAAGAGTCCAGACTTAAAATCCACACATTTTGGGCTCAAATCCCACTATGGTAATGTAACACAGGACTACTAGACTGACATTTTCTATCAGAGGTTCTCAAACTTGGCTGCTTGCCACCTGGGAAGCTGACACAACACCACTACCCAAGTTGAGAGTAGGAGCCAAACATCATAACTTTTTTAAATTTCCAGAAAGTGCTGGAGTTGTAGCACAGTGAGTTAATACACTGCCTTACAGGCTCATGTGTTGGTTGCTCCAGCACCAATTCAACTCCCTGCCAATATGCCTAGGAAAAACAGCGAGGGGATGGCCCAAGGGCTTGGGGCCCAGCCACCCATGTGGCAGATTCAGATGCATCTCTTGGTTTTTGGCTTCAGCCTGGCTCAGCCTTGGCTATTGGCTGCCATTTGAGGAGTCTACCAATCGATGGAAAACCTCTTTCTCTCTCTTTCTCTCCTTCCCCCTCTCTCCCTCCCTACCTCTCTGTACCTCTGTAAAATAAATCTTTAATATTAGTTAACTAGTAAAAATAAAAATTCCCAAGACCTCCTACCTACAGAAAATGACAGGAACTACCACTTCAAACCTCTAAAACCTAAGGTCTAGTCCACAGACCAGCAGCACTGACACCATCTGAGAGCTTGTGAGGAATGCTTCTGCCCCTGACCAAGTGTCAGAGCCCCAGAGGATCCAGCACACAACGAAGGAAGCACTGTCCCACAGAGCTTAACACTGGATTCCACAGACAATACTTTGTTAAAAAGCAAAGCCTGCATCCCACTCCCGAAGCTGATTCCATACATGGCCATCACATGCAGAGAACCCAGCTCCACTTGAACATGCGACTCCACAGCATCGAGAGAGGTACTGTGCTGACTCAGCCTCCGGATTGTGGCGTGGAAGAGTCACTTCCAGGGCTACAAGAGATCATTTAGAAGGAACCTGACACTGCGCTCAGCACATAGCTCAAGCTGTGTTGGAACAGTCATCATCTATCAACGGATCTAAGCTTTCATGCCAAGAATGACAAATGACTACTTATTAATGCAAAATCCCATGTTACACTGAGAAGTACCAACAGCTGTGACCAGTAATGATTTAACAGTTCCACAGTAAGCTTCGTCATGGGTCTACACACCTTACACTGACAATCATCATTTCATTTTTGCTAGCTCATTTCTAAAACCGATAACAGCATGGTAAAGGATTGATTGAGATCTCAGTATTTGAAAGAGAAGGCCAGAGACATGGGTCGCATCAAACCTCATTGAGAGATCTCTTTCCAGGATCACATTACAGAAAAAGGAAACGCATGAGAAGGGCCCTCGGATCAGGCCAGGGCTCAACAGCATTTCTTCTGAGTGAATACGGCAAGCTAATACCCAGGAAGCGCCACTGCAGGTATTTCTTGACAATGTTGATACAAGAATTTCTTACACCCCCTCAAGAGGGAGCTATACAACCATATCTGGATCTTTGAATAGAAACTGACCACGGCCATCTGCCCAAAGCCAGGTACAACATTGCTCCCTCAAAGCCAATATTTGGAACCATGGCACTCCACTTCAACCACACGACAAGATTCAGAACGTATTACAGAGACCACCACAGTGCCACTGCCAGGAAGTGGACAGCTGTAGGTCAAGAGCTCAGAACTAACAGAGTTGAATTTGGAGCTGCACATGTGGTGCCTGTGGGACACCCATGTCTCATTTCAGACTGAGTTTAATTTCTGACTCTGCTCCCAGTTGCAAGCTTCCTGTTGGAAACTCCATATTGCACCTAAGGGCTCCATATTGCATTCTCGGATCCCAGTTTCAACCTGGCCCAGCCTGGTTATTGTGGGCATTTGGACAGTGAATTAGCAGACAGGGGTGGTTTTTCCTTCCCTCTCCTCTTTCTCTTCACATCTCCAACAAATGGAATAACACTTTAAACCAGTTTATATAGCCAATTTCAAGTCAAAGAATACAAGAAACTCACTTTAAGCTTTGTCTTCCAAGATCCTCAGTCACTCCCTCAGGTACAACTATACTGGACTTAAAAATATCTGGAGAGGGCCCAGCACGATAGCCCAGTGGCTAAATCCTCACCTTGCATCTGCCAGGATCCCTTGTGGGATCCAGTTCATATTCCAATTGTTCCACTTCCCTTCCAGCTCCCTGCTTGTGGCCTGGGAAAGCAGTAGAAGATGTCCCAAGGCGACCCTGCACCCATGTAGAAGACCCAGAGAGGGCTCCTGGCTCATGGCTTCAGGTCAGCTCAGCTGCTTTTATAACAACTTGGTGAGTGAACCAGCTGAACAGATCTTACTGCCTCTCCTTCTTTCTGTGAATCTGACTTTCCAATAAAATATAAAACAAATACTGGAAAAAAAATCTGGAGAATATCAAGACTCGGTCCTTCAATTCATTCAGATCTTCTCTCCAACAATTTCTTACGACTCTTACCTCATAGAACTCTACATCCTACAACTCTTTCTTCCAGACATTTCCATCACCTGACCTTCTATTTTATGCTTGCTGGTCGGCATGCTGCCTGTCACCCCCACCTCCATGTAACAATACAACAAGGTTGTTCAAGGCTGTCTTGCCAATGCCAAAGGCAAAACCTGGAATGTATCCAATGTTGAATAAATATTTGTTGACTAAATAAGTGAATAAATGGATTAATGAGTCAACACAATGGGGAATTTGACACAGAAAAATAAATGATAAATATATTAACAGAAATGCTTTTAGATTATTTCCCAGTTTAGTAACCAAAGGTCTTAACAAGTTATAGGAATAACAAATTCAAATGAATTTTTCAGAATTTCTCTCTAATTAAGAATAAAATAAACAACGTGAATCTACTCTCAAGAGGCTTTATTCATCTTAATTTCACCTTGCTTCCTTGATATCACGAAAATTATATTACCATTATGATGTTCATTTCTCATCTGCTGATTCAAAAATCATATTATGTTCATTTCTTACCTGTTGGCAAAACTATTCAAAGGAACATCTCTTCAATTACCTTGGAACCAGGCAGTCAGCTCTCTGCAGAGTTGTGGCGTCCAGCTCGAAAAGGGACGCGATGTCGTTGCCATGCGGGACGGAGACCAGGCTGTACATGATCTTCTCCCCCGCCTGACGCTTCTTCTTAGAGGCCGGTAGGTCTCCATCTCTCTGCAGAGAGGACACAGGTTATTCACTCCTATTAGGAGTTGTAACACACTTCCCCAGAGAAACAAAGGATACGCTTTCAGCATGCATCCCCTTCTCAGGTTACAGAGAGCCTATTCCATGTCCCTCCACAGCAGCAGCCCAGGCTGGGCAGCCTTGAAAAGTCACACCTGTCCCCGGTGGAAGGCTGTGCCCGGGTTCACCACTGAAGCGTTAATTGTCACAACAGTTACAGTTCTTCCTGTGTTCCCTCTAATCTATTTGCAAAATATAATCTTGACCATGCACATGTAAAATACACACAGAGAAGAAACAGAGCGCTCAATTATCTGGACTTCATCCAGGAAAGACTAAGTATGTCAGAGGAGGAGCGTTCATACCTAACTCACCAGCCACAATTTGCACATTAACCTGAGGAGAAAAAGACAGCAGCAACATTTCCATTCAGCTGATATCCCCTCAGCCCCAAGACCATAGAACAATTGCATAAAAAATAAAATCAAGAGAGGACTTCACACACAGGGGTCTTCACAAGGATGTGAGATTTGGTTAGTATTTCCAGCATATCCTACCCTTTAATGAACTTCCCTAAGCCCAGTGACTATACAAGAAACAGAAGCACAGCAAACCAAATTAACAAAGCAAATGCAATATAACCTTGGGGATTAGGTAGATAGTTATTTGCACACAGTTATCAAAAAGGCCACTGCACCATCACAGGAAAGTGAACGAATGTAAATGAGAGGAATAGGAGGCTCCCAACGTTTGTCCATCAATAAGCATTTATGAAATGATTGCTGTAATGAGCCACTATATCTGATCAAAGTAGCCATTCAGAAGCCCACCCAAGCCCATGACTGTGAATACCACTACACGTGGATAGAAAACTCCTGTGGCTTTGTTTCTGATCACATCTGTAAATGGTGTTCACTTTGGTAGCACTACTGAACTGTGACTGGATAAAGGAAACAGACACGGTTCCCACACTGGAGGAGGGTTTTGATCTACTTGAGTCCTCATGGCGTAGCAGCACCTGATAGCTTCTGCCAGTTTTGCGTTAAAGGTCTCTGGCAAAGACCAAAGTGTAGATTTCAGCAAACTCTCTCCAAGTGGTCTTCCTTGACTGGGTTCTCATCAGTAAACATGCATGCTGTTTACTGATCAGAAAAAGGCAGGGATAACATACTATCTGGTATGAGGCAGCGCAGGTGTGTGGGAAAGGAGACAAGGCAGAAACATTTGAATTTACACAGACTTCACACAAAGCCAGGGTCCTGGCTGTTCTCATTTATCTTCTAACTCTCTAGGCAAGGAAGGTGAGCTTCCTAATTTTCATAAAACAATAAACGCATTACCTATGGGAGACGGTGTGACTAGTGAGGGAAGGAGAGGAAGGAAGTGAAGGGGAGGGAAGAAGGGAGGGAATAATCAACTGAATAATTCAACTGGAAGCTAACCAAAGTTGGAGTTTGGCCTCGAGTCCTTAAACCGTGAACAAGTCTCCTGAAAGAGCAGTCATGAATTCATGACGAAATTTCTTCATTCCAGAAGAAAAAAAAAAATTCTCTTCAGTCATAAAATTCACTTCCATAATGATCCGCATTGTAGACATAGAAATCTAAGATTCAAGATAAAATGTATGAGGGGGTAAAACAACCGCTTGCCCCGCAGGAAGAAAATGTAAATGTCTTTAACCCTACACCAAGAAGAAACTGTCAGATGAGTCAAGGCAGACAGCTAAGTGAACTGCCAAACAGGCAAGACTCATGGGATCTCAAACTGGGGAGTGTACAGCAATCTCCTGTGAGCTGAAGCTTCTTCCCAGAAAAATCCCCCCAGCACCTAAACAAGGAAAAATTCTGTGCTCTGGAATGTATGCCGTGGGTCTTGAAGATATTCTGGTTTACTTTAGAAATTCGGACTGCATTTGTACAGCCTTGTTCATTTCCTGCATTTCTGGGTTGGAAGATCCTCAAGGAAAGGGAATGGGCAGGAATGGGAAGCCAGGAAGAAAAGCAGAAAAGGAAACGATTCAAGGCACTAACAGAAAATCAGGAACGTGTAAGAAAGCTCGCCTATTCTGCAAGTTGTTCTAATTGGCAAGAGAAAATATCTAAAATATGTCAAATTTTGAGGACTGAGTACTGCTATTTAGATATCATTATTCCATTTTGCAGAAGAGCAAACCAATGCTCTAGGGGTCAGGTTCACATAATTATAATATGATCCAGCTGAAAATTAAATCCTGCTCCAGCTGATTACCAGTCCTTACTCTAAACTAAATATACTATAGAGAGACTGTGATAATCAAGAAGCTCCCAGAAAACCATCAGCTGACAACCTGGCAAAGATACACACAACCAAGCCGACACTTTTGCCTGTTTGTCTGCACTTTTGCAATGCCTACTGCTGAACATGATGTTGTTTGTTTTTATAAAAGAAAGCAAGATGCCAAAAAAAGCCCAGGGACAGATGGTTTCACAGCTGAATTCTACCAAACAGTCAAAGAAAACAGAAGTAGAGAGAAAGCTACCAAGTTTATTTCATGAGACCAGTTTTATCCTAATATCAAAGGCAAAGACATCACACAAAAACTATAGTATCTTTGATAAGCATGCCTGTAAAACTCCTCAATAAAATATCAGCACATTGAATTCAACAACACATCAAAAAGTTTCACATAATGATCAGTCAAATTTAACCCTTGGATGCAGCGTTGGTTTAAACATATGCAAAACAAACAATGTGATACACCACACCAGTGATGAACAACACAGGACCATCTCAACACATACAAACAAAGCCTGCAACAGCTTCAACAACCTTCGGTGATGAAAACATCCAACAATATGGGCACGAAAGAATAACTCTACAAATCATTTATAAAATGCCACAGCCAAGCGGTGATGTGGAATAGTAGGCTTAAGCTGCTATCTGCAACTCAAACATCCAATACAGGTGCCTGTTCTCTTTCAAGTTCACTGCTCCACTTCCAATCCAAATCCCTGCTAACGAACCTGGAAAGCAATGAAAGACAGTCCAAGTTCTTGCACCCCTGCACCCACACAGGAGATCTGAATGAGGCTCCTGGCTTTGACCTGGCTCAGTCGCAGCCCTCATGGTCTTTCTGGGAGCTAACAGCAGATGATGGGATGGGACAGGACGGGATAGGATGAGATGGGATGAGAAGGGAAGGGACAGCATAGAATGTTATTACCAGGGAAGGGGAGAGATGAAAGGGAGGAAAGTTACAATCATGTTGAATTAGTACGTATAGACAGCTAAAGTATAGAATAAACACTCTGATGTAAAACACTGTGTTGTGTACTGGGAAGTTGTTGTGGATAGATCTTAGGTACATTTGGCATACATAAAAAAAAGTAACCATGTAAGCAACTGTTGTTATCATTTTGCTGTGCTAAGGCGCCTGAGAAGGCGGTGGGAACACAGTTCAACTGCCTGGCTCCCTACCATCCAGATGTAGAACCTATTTTGGAGTTCCAGGTTCCTGGATTTGGAACCTATAAGAGCAGACTGCATCCTACTGGAAGAAGACAGAAACTGAGCAAAGATTTTTCTGTTGTACAAATACCCCAAACAATTTTATGAATATGTAGGCAATGGGATTCATGCAACAGTGGCTTCATTGGAATACTGGAAAGGAACAATTAAAATACAATTCTAATGAAAATTGTATAAAATCAATTATACCAAAGTTTAAAGAAAATATTTCCTTATTAAACTTCATTACTTATTTATCTTCATTTTACTAAAAAAAAAAGAAGAAGAAGAAGAAGAAGAAAAGGAGACAGAAAAAAAAGCAATCTTCCACCCTTCTGGCTCACTCCCCAAATTCCCACGATAGCTAGGACTGAGCCTTGAGCCTTGAACTCTACTCAGTGTCCCACATGGGCGATGGCAATTCAAGCACACGAGCTGTCATCCTCTGCCTCCAGGAAGGCATATTAGCAGGATGGAGGCTCAGAATCGGGCAGTCAGGACTGAAACCAGGCACTGCATGTAGAATCACTCAGAGGACGTCACCACTGCACCCCATGCCAGCCCCAAGAAACGTCTCATCAGCAGAAGATCAGCATGTATCCTACACAAAGGCAGAGTTAGTGAGCAGAACCCGGCAGCTTCTCTCACCACGGCCCAGCACAGATGCATGAGAATATCAGAATACACCATATTCTCAAAAGGGACGTGTGTCATCCAATTTCCTCAGGTTCCCGCACATCAATATTCTAAATATAATGGAGCTTCGTTTAAGTTTGCCTTTAAGGAAAATGTACTAATTGATACCATTTATTTAGATATTTTAACAATGAAAGTCAAAACTGGGCCCAGCGGTGTGGCGCAGTGGTTAAGGTCCTCGCCTTGCACGCCCGGGATCCCATATGGGCGCCGGTTCTAATCCCGGCTGCTCCACTTCCCATCCAGCTCCCTGCCTGTGGCCTGGGAAAGCAGTCGAGGACGGCCCAAAGCTTTGGGACCCTGCACCCGCGTGGGAGACCCAGAAGAGGCTCCTGGCTTTGGTTCGGCATAGCATCGGCCGTTGCGCTCACTTGGGGAGTGAATCATCGGACGGAAGATCTTCCTCTCTGTCTCTCCTCTCTGTATATCCGCCTTTCCAATAAAAATAAAATAAATCTTTAAAAAAAAAAAAAAAAAAGAAAGTTAAAACTGAAATCTGGCAGTTGTGGCGTGTGTAGCAGTCAGTCCTGCATTCTCTGTGCTTTCAGCATAGAAACTGAAACGAATTGTCCAGTCACACAAGACGAGGCCAGACCCACACTCCTGCAGACTGCCATTGTGGCCTGCCCTCCTCGGTCCTGGCTCACCTACACGAGCAGGCAGGCTTACACTACCAGAAGAATCTTTGCCAAATTTTAAAAAAAAAAAAAAAAAAACCTCATTAATTGGGATTAATTCAAAGAGGTCACTCTAAGTCGGTAATTAGGGTCCATGGCTTTATTTTAATCACACAGAGTCTGTGGGAT